CATGCGTAATGTGGGAGGAGCAACACTCACCCACACAGCCATCTCACTACTTTAACCTATACATACAACCTTTTTAAGCTTTTTAAGATTGAGAAAATTTAAAAAAGCTTTTCCGACCCGTGCGTTTGAATTTTCCTTCCCAGGATATCATGAACCGAAGGAGCTAAAGAATTTCAAGCATGCGACGAAAATCCGGAATGCGGTATTTCTGAATGAGAAGGGTTCCTTCTATTCGCTTCATAGGGAATATTTTCGCGCATTCGGGCATTTTTAGTACCAGGCTGCCATAAATGTATGGAAGTCAATGGAATGTTTGGTACACGGTAAGATATTGTGGCTCCGAAATCCGGTAACTTCACATTCAAATTTGTTATGAAGGATTTTTTTAAATAATAGCCTTTTAGGGGTAAATTTAAAGTTTTCCTGTATTATTGCTCTGTAGTTGATAATATTTATTAATAATTTAAAAAGTACTATTAGATAATAATAATTTTTTTTAGGATTGATGGACAACTGGTGGCCCGGAGGCCTTTCCAGTTTCACCAGGACAGGTGGGCGAGCAAAGGCTCATCCAGGAGGGGTGGAATTTGCTAACAGCTATCCGAGCGCCTCCGAAGGAGACCTAACAACTCAAGAGCAGCTGCTTCGCGAATGAATTTACTACCGGATCGGAATCGCGATCTGCTGAAAAGATCCGGCGAGAAACTCAGCGAGTATGGTTACCGGGGTCCCTAAGCCCACCTCTAGTGTTAGAGCTGAAGGCGTCAATAATATTATTGGATTTCGGACACATTGCCAGGAAAGACGTAGATAATCTTGAAGATCTGGTGATGATTGGCAAAGTGAAAGGAAAAAGATCGCAGGGTCACAGCCCAAGTTCTACTGACCAGATTTGCACCACTCTCAACTCTACGATTCTTTCAGAAAAGCCGAAGACAGCATGAGATGGCACAACTTCTTGAGGACGAAGCTCATGTCTTGGTCACGACCCTCAGACAAGAAGAGCACGACTGAAGAAGCAAGATAACATAATATATTACTAATATCAACATAGATTCTTTTAAGCCGAATTTTAATCAAATAATTATTGTATCATAAATTTAAAAAGAAATGAAAGGAAGTAAGCGAGAATATNGCTACTTTTTCACACTAAAATACGGCAAAATCGAGTTGACGATTTGTATGCTCTTACACTATGCCGTTGAACAACAACATTTATTTGCCGGATTTTATTTTTGTTCACCATTCACTCTGCTATTCGCGTATTGTTATTCCTAGCGCAAGTATACGTGGAAAAACGACTATGAATTTACTCGAGATTAAAATCATGGAATAGGTTATTCCTCGTATAGTTACTCGAGTATAAATTGAAGTTTGGTCGAATCCGCCCTTTAGAGGAACCCTCTTGATATTAATTCACACATGCGTAATGTGGGAGGAGCAACACTCACCCACACAGCCATCTCACTACTTTAACCTATACATACAACCTTTTTAAGCTTTTTAAGATTGAGAAAATTTAAAAAAGCTTTTCCGACCCGTGCGTTTGAATTTTCCTTCCCAGGATATCATGAACCGAAGGAGCTAAAGAATTTCAAGCATGCGACGAAAATCCGGAATGCGGTATTTCTGAATGAGAAGGGTTCCTTCTATTCGCTTCATAGGGAATATTTTCGCGCATTCGGGCATTTTTAGTACCAGGCTGCCATAAATGTATGGAAGTCAATGGAATGTTTGGTACACGGTAAGATATTGTGGCTCCGAAATCCGGTAACTTCACATTCAAATTTGTTATGAAGGATTTTTTTAAATAATAGCCTTTTAGGGGTAAATTTAAAGTTTTCCTGTATTATTGCTCTGTAGTTGATAATATTTATTAATAATTTAAAAAGTACTATTAGATAATAATAATTTTTTTTAGGATTGATGGACAACTGGTGGCCCGGAGGCCTTTCCAGTTTCACCAGGACAGGTGGGCGAGCAAAGGCTCATCCAGGAGGGGTGGAATTTGCTAACAGCTATCCGAGCGCCTCCGAAGGAGACCTAACAACTCAAGAGCAGCTGCTTCGCGAATGAATTTACTACCGGATCGGAATCGCGATCTGCTGAAAAGATCCGGCGAGAAACTCAGCGAGTATGGTTACCGGGGTCCCTAAGCCCACCTCTAGTGTTAGAGCTGAAGGCGTCAATAATATTATTGGATTTCGGACACATTGCCAGGAAAGACGTAGATAATCTTGAAGATCTGGTGATGATTGGCAAAGTGAAAGGAAAAAGATCGCAGGGTCACAGCCCAAGTTCTACTGACCAGATTTGCACCACTCTCAACTCTACGATTCTTTCAGAAAAGCCGAAGACAGCATGAGATGGCACAACTTCTTGAGGACGAAGCTCATGTCTTGGTCACGACCCTCAGACAAGAAGAGCACGACTGAAGAAGCAAGATAACATAATATATTACAAATATCAACATAGATTCTTTTAAGCCGAATTTTAATCAAATAATTATTGTATCATAAATTTAAAAAGAAATGAAAGGAAGTAAGCGAGAATATTATCATTTATATCGAGATTATCGTCGGCAAGATATCGTCGGCATCTAGCGTATAAATGAATTGAAATAGCCTCTCAATAACATAGTAGAAATACAAGTAACTTTTGGTAGTTTCAAGATATTTAGCATAATTTAACGACAATAAATAAATGTATCATCGTTTTAAGTGTTTTCGGGAACCAGCAATGTATAACGTACAAAATTTTTGTGTCAACTTTACTTACTAGGACTTTGAAAAGTGATATGCTAACTGACCGACACTCGATGATTTACTATCTGATCTGTTTATTATGCTATTTTTAAAGGTAATGATTTTTTTCCGTAAAAATGTTTACGAAGAATATTCAAATCTATTCTGGTTTTGAAGAGAAATTACCGAAAAATATATTATACAGAAACAATCTAATTTCTAAAAAACATAAAAATTAATGTCAAAGAAAAATTCAATCGAGAACCACGAAGAACAAATTCAACAATTCCCCGATTACCAAAAACCCGGATAAGCAAGATTAACCCGGGTTTAGGCCGGTTACAACGGATTCACGGTACCAGGCTAGCATAAATGCAAGGAAATAGATAATCCGTTTTACCCGGTCGTGTACAGGGCACCCGGCAACACACACCGATAAGCCATTTCAATGTACGCGTGAATCGCATGAAAATATAGTCCGTGTAAATTCTTGTAAGAACTGTTTCCTTTTCAACTTAACTTCTTTAAGATCCTAGATTAAAAATTGTAAACTTGTTAGGTGGTATTTTATTCGGTTTTAAGCTTCGTTAAACCAAAGTATGTCAATTTAGAATTACGTTCGTCAATATTGCTTTGAATAGCTTAGTTATCGTGGGGAAAAAAATCATTGAAAAAAGTTTAATTTTCGTGGTCAAAAACGACTAGGATTTTATTTGTTGACAGTCAAGTATTTAATATAGACTAGCTGACCCGGCAGACTTCGTAGTGCCTCTATCGATAAATAAAAGAAATAACATTTCAAAGGAAAAACAAAATTGTTATTTTTATTTAAAATTCCGAGCATTTTCATATTTATTTACCTTTTAAACCTTCTCTGGACTTCCACAAATAATTCAAGACCAAAATTAGCTAAATCGGTCCAGCCGTTCTCGAGTTTTAGCAAGACTAACGAACAGCAATTCATTTATATATATATATATAGAAGATAGATAGATAGATTATTATTAATACTGCAGTGTCCAGAAAATTAGATAGTGCTATGAAAAATTAAAATTAACTACTTTAAAGTTCCAAATAAAACTTTAAGTTTCCCGAGCGCTATGGCATGTCCTTCTTCAAACAAGGCTTTTGCAGAGTAAGAACATAACGGTAGGCAGAGGCTTGACTCTGCCCCTGGCTTTGTTGATGTCCATGAGCGACGATAACCACTCACCACCGGGTGGGCCGTATGCACTTCTGCCTACAGGGCAATAAAATAAGAACCAAAAAAAAACTTCTATCGGAACTTTTTTTTGAAAACTCCGTAATTTTTTTTAAATTTAATACAATTTTTATCTTATTTTTCCTATTACACATTTTGGTAATTCACACTCAATCACAGTTTATGTGTATAAACATAATATTAATATTGTAGTCAATTAAGTACATAATGAAAGGAAATTTTAAGAAAAACTTTTACTATTAAACTAGAAAATCTTTTGTACCAGGGTGCTATATTTACAAAACACTTATACCGATTTGAATCGTAAGGTGTTTGAAATAAGAGACAATATTACATGCATGTTAGTTCCGCTACGAATCAATATCTCACCCCTCGTAGATTCCGTAGCAGAGGGCGTAGATTTAGCGGACGCAAAAAGAGAACTTATGTTTGTCCCTTTCTAAATTTAAGCCTCTGTCTTTTGCTAGTTTCCTAAGTCAATAGACATCACATCAAGAATTCCATGACCAATCTAGCGACAGTGATAATTAAAGTCTAAAATTGCGCAAATTTTTCTTTTCTACTAAATCGAATAGCCTTTCAAACTTTACGCGGACTGAAATGTGAGCTCACGGGCTCAACCTGTGAAAATTTATAACACTAGCCCTAGCAAGAGCATTGCTTAACTGCATCTACTACCGGATCTCAATCGCGGATTGAGAATGTCCGGCAAGAAACTCAGTGGGTATTGTGCAACCTTGCCACCATTTAAACTCCGATGTTTTACGGCAAACATAGGCAGTATCGAACTATCGTGCCAACTCCCAGACTTCCCAAAGACAGAGCACACTTAAAACTGAGACCTTAGAACTCTTGTCTCATGGGTGGTTGCATTTAAGTTGTAGTTGTATTTGAGCTCTGTTAACAATTTAACACCAGGTATACCGTCAGGTCAATCATCTAAGCAATAAAGAAAACACCGCTTTGACCCATACAGTCGATTTTCAATTGTATCTCTGGCTCTCACCGGTAAAAGTGAACTATATTTCCTACAGATTCACCGAAGGCTTCGTCGATATAAGAGAAAGAGAAGGTAAAGTGAAACGCGGCAGTCGGGAGCAGGGTCGCCAGCTGATGAACAGACACAACAACGAGGCTGGTAGACGGGTAAGATGGCTACTACACCCTCACCCTAACTTTGGTAGACGAGTAAGACAGATACTACACCCTCACCCTAACCTTGGTAGACGGGTAAGACAGCTACTACACCCTCACCCTATCCTTGGTAGACGGGTAAGACAGATACTACACACTCATCCTTGCCTTTACGGGTGGATATATTCTCTTATGTTTCAATGTATGTTACTGGTGGTAGGACCACTTGTGAGTCTGCGCGGGACGGTACCACCACCCCGCCTATTTCTGCCGTGAAGCAGTAATGCGTTTCGGTTTGAAGGGTGGGGCAGCCGTTGTAACTATACTTGAGACCTTAGAACTTATATCTCAAGGTGGGTGGCGCATTTACGTTGTAGAACTCTATGGGCTCCAGTAACCACTTAACACCAGGTGGAGTGTGAGCTCGTTCACCTATCTAAGCAAAAAAAAAACCCAGGGTAGAAAAATAGTTTTATAGCCTAATATTATGTATAAATAACGTAGTTAAAATACTTTAAAAAACACGGTTTAATAAAAAACCAATTAGCATTAGCAATTAATTTCAACTTTTTCTTTTATACAGTTGATAATCGTGAGGGTATTAAAACGAAGTTATGGTAATCGGTTAAGACTTCTTTCTATCTTCTGATAGGCGGTGATAGCAAAATCACGGGTGACTTGCAAATGTCACGGAGTGTCGGGATCCTGCAGCCTGATCACGTGTTGGCAGCAGCTGGCCTCTTTTAGGGAGATCGGTGAGTATCAAAATCCGACAATTTATTTGACGCCACATAGCTAAATTTAGACTAGTCTTTTTTTATAATTTAATCCACTTTCCCAGTATAATTCCGCGTTTATTATTATAGTTTTAGGAATACTTTAAACGTGGTCATAGACAACTTAGGTGTTGTCTATGACCACGTTTAAAGTATTCGAAGAATATGAAAACGTTATGACATACGGCGACCTAAATCACCGCCTAAATTCCTTTAAAACGATTCCTTGACATTTTCTTTTCTTTTCACACCGAAATAGTTAACATTGATTTGAATGTTGTGTTCTAACTACCGTCTAAATTCCTTTAAAACGATTCCTTGACATTTTCTTTTCTTTTCCCACCGAAATAGTTAACCTTGATTTGAATGTTGTTTTCTAACTACCGCCTAAATTCCTTTAAAACGATTCCTTGACATTTGCTTTTCTTTTCCCACCGAAATAGTTAACATTGATTTGAATGTTGTGTTCTAACTACCGTCTAAATTCCTTTAAAACGATTCCTTGACATTTTCTTTTCTTTTCCCACCGAAATAGTTAACCTTGATTTGAATGTTGTTTTCTAACTACCGCCTAAATTCCTTTAAAACGATTCCTTGACATTTGCTTTTCTTTTCCCACCGAAATAGTTAACATTGATTTGAATGTTGTGTTCTAACTACCGTCTAAATTCCTTTAAAACGATTCCTTGACATTTTCTTTTCTTTTCACACCGAAATAGTTAACATTGATTTGAATGTTGTGTTCTAACTACCGTCTAAATTCCTTTAAAACGATTCCTTGACATTTTCTTTTCTTTTCCCACCGAAATAGTTAACCTTGATTTGAATGTTGTTTTCTAACTACCGCCTAAATTCCTTTAAAACGATTCCTTGACATTTGCTTTTCTTTTCCCACCGAAATAGTTAACATTGATTTGAATGTTGTGTTCTAACTACCGTCTAAATTCCTCTAAAACGATTCCTTGACATTTTCTTTTCTTTTCACAGTCGAAATATATAACATTGCTTTAAATGTTGTGTTCTAACTACCGTCTAACAGTTATAGGAAATAATAAAGGAGGAAAAAATAATATGACGATAATAAAGACGAGATTAAACTGTGTGTGAAAGTAGTGTTTATTATATCCACGACTTGCAAAAACCGAGGAAATTTAGCAAATTTAATAATACTGTGAACTTTTTTGTTTGCCTACCGATTTTCTTTTTTTTGTTGAGTGCCTATTTACAAGCTGTGTGTAACATCAATGGGGACTTTAAAAAAAACACTATTACAAAAAATACAAATTTGATATCCGCAATGAATCTTACACTATTCATTAGTACGTAAACACAGGTAAAACGAAAAACGTAAAAAAATATTAGAAAACAGTTACTTTTTTCCAAACTTTAGAAGGAATAATATCGATAACAAAAAAAATGCTTTGTACATTAAATTTAACGAATCTAAACGTAATGTAAATATCTCAGTATCAGTGATTTTAAGGACAAGCGCGCACATTATATTGCAAGATGTATTTTGCATTGGAGTCATACATTTTCGAATTAGTTCGTTCTACCGTCATCAGCAATGCGTCGTGTGCTGAGGACCACATCACCTATCAGTTTATGCTTATCAATAAATAATCTCTCAAGTCAACAAAATAACAAAGTAAGCCCTGGGTACACTGCACAGTAATTAAGTTCGAATTTAGATTACTCCCTGAACACTAGTTTCATACCCGATCCTGTACACCGAATGGTTAACAGTCGACGTCGCCCAAAGCACGTCATTACAGATCCTCCCGATCCATTAACGGTGCTTTTAGGCACCACAAGCACCGGTCACCGTCCTCGTCGAACCCGTCGCTTGCGACTAAGGGCTCGACGAACGAATTAACACATAGACACAGTCCACTGAGTTTCTCGCCGGATCTTCTCAGTGGGTCGCGTTTCTACCCGACCTACCGACCTACCTAACAACTCAAGAGCAGCTGCTTCGCGAATGAATCTACTACCGTTACGGAATCGCGATCCGCTGAGAAGATCCCGCGAGAAACTCGGCGGGTTAAATACATGATTTAGGTTGCACATCGAAAAACAATATTCTTGTTCGCGTTGTGACAGTCCTTTGTTTTCGTTCAGTAACAAATTAACCACAGTTAAATTCCCACGCTAAATTAGCCACAGTTCCCTTAACTGGCTTTCCGTATACACGATTTGATTCGAAATGGCTAGCATCTAACGGTCATCATTGCCTTCCGTATAGTGCAGTTAATGTCCCACGATTAATAATCCCATTCTGTTCGTGTCAAGCTTAAATGCTGGTTAATGATTAAGACATAGAAACGATTTGTTTTAATTAAGACCTACTCGGGTAATTGTTCGGTCTCTTGTGAGTTATGCGGTGTTGAATTTTTTGCTGACTTCAAAGAAGGAGGAGGTTTTAAATGATTTGATTGCATTGTTTATGTGTGTGTTTATCTGAAAACTTTTTTATGGGTGGACTGATGTGATGATTTGAACTTGTGCTTCTTATGTGGTCTGATTTAAGTTTTTTTTTTATTGCTTAGATGGGTGGACGAGCTCACAGTCGGTGTTAAGTGGTTACTAGGCCTATAGACATCTATGACGTAAATGCGCCACCCACCTTAAGATATGAGTTCTAAGGTCTTAAGTATAGTTTCAATGGCTACCCCACAATTCAAACCGAAATGTATTACTGATTCACGGCAGAAATAGGCAGGGTGGTGGTACCTAACCGCGCGGACTTACAAGAGGTCCTACCACCACTAAAATATTATTATATCAAGATCTGACCGGACTTTTTGAGTTATCCTTTTGTTCCTTATACGCGCGTGTAAAATATGTTGTTAACTTAAACTTTATTGTTCTCTTTTTTTTTTACTTTGATCGATTTTTATTTCGGCTTAACGATTTCAATGTTTTTAACTATCTTTAGCTACTTAAAACTTTCCGATACATTTTATAGAATCGAATTATAATTTTGGATTTCTGTCTCATCGGATTCTCTACACCTTCTTCTTTTTCTTCAGGCCCTTATCCCACATCATGTGGGATCGACGCAGCATGTCCTCTCGTCATGAATTATATTATAATTCGTTTTTTTTCTTCCTCTTATTGAATACTCTATACCAGGGGTTCCCAAACTTATTTTGTCTACTGCCCACTCTGAGAATAGATTATTTTTTAGCGCCCCCATTTTTGCACTTATTTAGAAACCACTATTGCAACGATTACAAATCCTAGATGAAATTACAAATCGCCTCCCAAGCCTCTACACAACGCCCCCTTTTTTTCTGGGTCTCTTACGGCCCCCCTTTAGGCCTGCAGCGCCCACAAGGGGGAGTTATCGCCCACTTTGGGAAAGGCTGCTCTATACCTACCACTGCGGCTAATTAAGTTTTTACGAGTCACCTTTGAAATTTACGAACTACATAGCTCCCGCCATTATTCCGGAGGGTTCATTCGATTTTTAAATCCACGTTTTATTGCGTTCCGGCAGTTTATGTGGCCGTTAAGTTTATTTTTTATTTTTTTTAAATTAGTTCGAAATTAAAATTTAGTGTCGCTTTTGAAATACGTTAATAGTTTAAAAAAACGTAATCGAATTCGGTGTCCTTAAAGTTATATTAGAAGTAAGAATTTCTAAACAGAATTTAATGGGTCGTATAATTTGTTAGTAATAACTTTAATTTCAAAGACAGTGGACATAGACATAATGAAAACTAATTCTTTTTATTGCTTAGACAGGTGGATGAACTCACCTGGTTACTTAAGTGGTTACCGGAGCCCATAGACATCTATTACGTAAATGCCGCCACCCACCTTGAGACGAGTTGTAGGGTCTCCATTTTATCAGTACAACAGCTGCAGCTGCCCCACCCTTCAAACCGAAACATATTACTGGTTCACGGGCAGAAATAGGCGGGGCGGTGGTACCTACCCGTGCGGGCTCACAATACGTTCTACCACCAATAAACCAAGTAACTTTTACAGTTTGATCTCGGGTTTCTTATTATCATTATATTATTGTCAGTTTCGAATACTTTGCAACCTTCATGGTCATATGCGAGTTATGCGACTAAGATTTTGTATATATTATAAGGGATTTTATAACCTGGTAATTAAGACCTTTAAGTCAGGTCTTATTTTAATTTATATTCTTATTTTTATGAAAAATGATGAAGTGAAATGAAATGGAATGAAAATGATCGATTTGAGACATTGATCATCTGGGACGAATATAAGTGAAATAAGATGATATGGGATGAAATATAATCTCAATAAAATGGTGGTCATTTATTGAGATTTTTTCAGTGGACTTTTTGGAGTATCCCGAGAAGGTAGCTGAAACGGCTGTTTCATTTTCCCACATTTGTGCACTTTCATAGATATTAAACAGCTAATAAACCACCGTTTTTACACATTTAAACCTGAAGAAACACTAAATAGACAAAATAACACACAAGTTCACTCCTCGCGTTCCCGCCAAAAAGTTCGTTTCTTTAAACAAATAATTCTAAAATCTTTCAATTCTAATTATAAATTCAAATACGCTTATGCGAACAATCCCAATTTTCACGGTGATAACATTGAAGATGATGATTCACACCAGCCGAATTCAGTTGATCATTTCCACCTTACTTAACACACGTGAATGTTGATGGGATTTTTAAGGAAAGAGACAAATATATATCCTCTATTTTATTACGTAGCGGTGTTTTTTTTTTCAAAATTATTGGCGACTCGAAATCGAATTTTTAGTAACTTTTTGCTCGTATTTCAGGCGATTATCTGAGAGACCGATACGAAGGCGCAACAGAAGTGAAAGTTTCGAGACGAGGGAAGCTGCGTCTTAGAAATCCTAGATACAGCCTGCCGACAGCACAAGATCTGGTGTACTTGGAAGAGTCGCCGAATTACTGCGTCAAGAATGAGTCTTTGGTACGTGCTTTTGTTATTATCAGAGAGAGCGCATAAGGATACCAGACTGCCTAGTGAGCCGTAAATGCATACTAGAATACGTGAATAGATCTAGAGCCCAACTAGTTTCTCGTCAGTGGGTAGCGATTCCAAACGGTGATAGATTTAGCGAAGCACTGCTCTTCAGTGGCGTAGCGTGAGTGTCAGCCGCCCGGGGCGGAAGACAATTTTACCGCCCTTTTATTTAGGTACTTCACTTTGATGTATACTATACATTAATTCTAGATTTTTTTTGGCAAGAGCAGTCATCATTATTTTGCATTATACCTACAGGTAAGATTTTAAATAAAAAAGTTTATCTAAGTGTTACAATCAGGGGGAGGGTGATGGGAGAGATGTGCTCCGCACTAAACGCTTCACCTTCCCCCCTTTGCCTTTTCATGAGTTCTGTCTCATGCGAGGTTTAGATGCTGGTTGTTGAGCGACAGGAGGTTTTAGTCGGTTCAACTCCGACATGCCCCGCCCTCCATCCCCAGTGGAGGGTGGAAGTCCGGCGATTTCCTCCTGACAAAAAAAAAAAAGTGTTTCAATCGCGTTTATTAATACAACACGTTAATTTATATACAATTACATAAATAAAATACGTATTTAATGCTTACACAGTGTAATTCAGGTAAACGGAGCGGAAAAGTTCAATTTTTCACAATGTTGAATCACAACCACTACACGTAGGTACTTATTTGCAAAAATATCAATGTTTTAAAGCGTAACATAAATTACGATACGTCAATGTGAAATGGACAACTGACAATCCATAAATAAAACTTTCTTTGAATTGTCAAAGCATCACGTACTTCCTTAATATTATCTATATATTGATAAGAAAATTGCGCGGATGGAGGAGTATGAAATTTTCCACACTTATAAAGAATATAGAGAAGAAGCGCACAATGCTAATTTTTTTTTAAATAATGCATAAAAGATACATTAATGCAATAAAGAAAACATTACACACACTACATACAATGTATTTGACGCACACACGCATGCATACTATTTATTGTCAAATTTTTGTTCTTGACGTCTGTTGTCAAATTGAGATTAAATATTGTTTGTCTTTGTTAATATTTTTTATAGTGTAGTCTTGGCGAAATTTGTAATTATAGAAGTATAAAATTCAATCATAATAGTATACAAACTTACAATTCCAATTAATTATAGTCGAATTTCGACTACTGCGGGACCACTAGTAATATTACTATTACAATAAGCCCGTTTAGCTTGAAAATTGGTAGACGAATTTTTTTATAGCCTAAATGGTTCGACGAGCTCAAGGCCCACTTGGTGTTCAGTGGTAACCGGAGCCCATAGACATCTACAACGTAAATGCCGTCACCCACCTCGAGTTAGTTTGGTTTGCTAACTAAACATGAGTTTTTCTCTAGTTTTTTAAATATTCGAAATTGTATTGTTCTCATCGAATAAGATTCAAGCAATTCTCGATGATCACCGCTATCTTTTGACGCTTCACGTAAAACAAACAAGCTTAGTATTGCCAGCTCTTGATATTTTCAAATTTAACAGACCAAATATCAACAGGCATGTGCTCGAGGCAACGAACATGATAGACAGAGATATCCTTCACTGCTTAAAATAAAATAAAAACGTTTTTTTTAGGGCTCCCTCGGTACTTCTGGCCGAGAATGCAACAGGACTTCTTTAGGCTTAGACGGGTGCTCATTACTGTGCTGCGGAAGAGGTTACAACACTAAAAAAATTATGATGAAAGAACGATGTCAGTGCAAGTTCCACTGGTGCTGCCACGTGAAATGCAATACTTGTGTCAAATCCACCGAACTTTATACTTGTAAATAATCATATGATCTGCTTATTTTCGGAACGTTCATGCCAGAATAATTGGCCTAGTGTTTACACGGAAAATATTCAGTGCAGAATTATGAGTAATATCTAATGGTAGTAGGAGAATTTTTTTAGAGGGAGATTTTAAAAGTTATTATTAAAGCAATAATGTCCTTGTTGAAACGATATGAAAAAATATGCTGTCTATATTGTATTCAGCGAACAAAAGCCCACACATAATTTCATGTACGATTTAAAACGAATGATACTGGTAATGGTATTTTGGGTAATGGTATTTTGGGATTTTAAATTTTGAAATTTCCCGCCAACTTAACTTGCCCGGTACCCGCGCGTCACTAGCGCTACGCATTGCCGCAGTGAGTGCAGCGTTTGAAAAAAAAAGTCGTGAAATCACATAGACCTATATAGTATTCTTCAGTGTGAAATCATTAGCAGTTGGCAGTAATTCCGTATTTTTTTAAACTTTAAAATTCAATAAAACTATGATCTATCGTACATTTACAATCCTTAGTATTTTAACCGACTTCAAAAAAAAGGAGGAGGTTCTCAATTCGACTGTATGTTTTTTCATGTTCATACTCAATAACTCAATATTACGTCAACCGATTTCTTTGATTATTGTTTTTAGTGTATATTCATTTGTTTTGGAATATCTTTTTTTGAAGTGAAGCTTCTTTAGGTGCATGAGGGTAAAATTTTTACAGAACGTCACGCAGGTATGCAACGGAAGTGACATCAAACTACTATTGAAATTAAGTACTTGTCAAATGTCAGTAGTAGTAGTTGTTGTATTTTTCCAACTGGAAAGGCAAATGTATCATACCATACAGCCTAACATTTTATAATTTTTTTGTGAAAAATGGTAATAGGAATTGAAATGAAATGAAAAGAATTTGGAACATTAATCAAATAACATGAAATTAAATTAGTCAATTCAATTGGCAAAATATTAGTCATGTACAATTTAGAAATATAAACATAATGTGACTGTCAACACTGAGGTTTGAGATTGACATTTGACAGACTTTCGGCGGGAACATATCTTCCTTTTTCCCTTCCTCTAAGTCTCGGAAATCTAAAGTTTTAGATTTGTATAATTATAAGCAAGACTTATAAAATAGTTTGCCAAAAAAGTTTCACTTCTGACATATTGTGTACTTTGTACGGACGCACTTTTTTTTTTTTAAATCTGTTTTTGTTAAAGCATGTCTATTGACAACATGTTTCTTAATTACTAATTTAAACTATTTTTTAATTTTAGGTTTTTATTTAAACTATACTATATACGTTAAATGATGTAGTTTTCGTTCTATTGTGAGATATCTTATATGTGTACAGAAGTAATCTTATATATTATTTTACGCTAAGATTATTAATAATTATTTATAATTATGTATGTAGAGTGGTATATAAAAAATACTTATACCTAAATAATTATAGTAAAAAATTATAACAGTTTTTTTTGTTGCATAAATGTGTAGACGAGCTCACAGCCCACCTGGTGTTAAGTGGTTACCGGAGCCTATAGACATCTACAGCTAAATGCCGACCCCCACCTTGAGATATGAGTTCTAAGCTCTCAAGTATAGTTACAACGGCTGCCCCACCTTTCAAACCGAAACGCATTACTGCTTCACGTCAGAAACAGGCAGGGTGGTGGTACCTACCCGTGCGGACTCACAAGTGGTCCTACCACCAGCACGTCATTAAAATTTTATGTGATATTTTATACTAGATTAAATACCCAAGACCTCACAGTACATTGCGTAATGGAGCATTTAGACATCACAACGTAATTTCTGTCGCGTAGATGACATAAAAAGAGAAACTAGTGCTGAGGATACTCATATAACAGTCTGATACTTAGTGTTCATGCCAGTGCCCTCAATTCTTTTATAGCAATGTTAAAGATGCTAGCCTTCTAAGGCGCTAATCATCACAGTATAATGAATGAATGAATGATTTATTTTATTTCAGACAACAACAACAAGTCCATATGTGTACATAGTATCATTGAAACATACTTAACATTACCAAAACCATTATAAAAAAGATACATATTTTTTTTATAATTATCCGTAACATATTATTGTATTTCACTATCATTCAATCATTCACTACCCGCTCTTCAACGACGCTGTACATCTCTCAATTTAAATATTATAAGAATAATATCAAGTGCTGGAGTTTTATTACCACAAGAAGCTTCCTTATGTATCTCAAGCCGGTACACTAAGTAACGGCTTAGTAGATTGAGAGGCTAAGGATAGGGTATGATAGTAGTTAGGTAGTTCTTATTCAGAATTGGACAGAACTTTGTGAAGCGATGCATTGCTCTTCAAGTGTGAATTGTCTCTGATCACTATCACTCATGGATAACGATTAGAGCTAAAACCTAAAGACACAGTCAAATTGATTACCGGGACTATGAAACTGAATCGATATAATAGATGAATATAAAAATACAAATTCGCCATATTGTGTCACCACACATCAACTTTGTTATATCTGTGGACTCCGGTAAACATTAGCACCTGTGTGCTTAGTGCGAGTATTTTAACGTTCTCGACAGCGTAAACGTTAATTCAAATTTGTATGGAGTTGGAACGTTTGCGTACGTTTGCCGCTAGGGGCGCTGTTCCAACTGCATACAAATTTGAATTAACGTTTACGCTATCGAGAACGTTAAAATACTCGCACTAAGCACACAGATGGCCTACTAACTTGTTTACTCAACGAATATAATTTAAAACATGCAGTGTATTTCATCATTACAGAAAATTATCATTCGATAAATGTATCAAACAGACTTTGCTAAATATGTTGTAACATTAACGATTCGTCCAACTGTAGATTGTTTTTGCCAATTAAATACAAATATTGTAAATAAAATGATAAAATCCTCAAGTGGTCATCAACATTTACATTTACTTTTAAATTAAAAAATTATCTGCATTAGAATGTCGTTGTAGTGAATTTGGTTAGTGAATTAAAGTACATAATTTAATGCATGCCATTGTACCTTTAAATCTATGACTCTTAGAGGCTATTTATTGTATGAAATAAATGTAATTGTTAATTAAGTTCTTAATGTGTTTCTTTTTCTTCCTATTATTTTGTAAGTGAAGCGATATTTAAGAATCTAATTACTACTAATGACACTGAAAATGATTCAATTACATTACAGAATCTCTAATTACTAACAATGACAAACATTTGCTAATTACGGTGCACATACTTAGCATGATACCACTCACTGCCACTCAGTCGGAAACCTACCTACATAATTTTTACTTTTCTAAAGAAATATAAATTATATGTATCATAAAATTAGCATGACAGGTGTACCTATTGTTTAGACGATATTAAAACACATCGTATTTTTTGTGAAACATTTTACAAGCCGCTTTATTTAGAACTATTTTAGTGTTTCCTGGTGTTATTATTTTACTCTGACAGCCGAGTATAGCGACAAAATTTTAGTGTTCAAAACGTCAGGAATAGAATAACTATAAAAAAGCGAGATATATGTACCTAACCGTAGAAGTAATTACGGCTATATATTTTAATATAACAAAGAAGAATGAACGTCCAGAAAAAAGTTATTCACCGTCCGACCTTGCCGTCCGACCTTGCCGTCCAAACTTGTAGAATCGCTAAATTAAAAAAAAATCACACAATTTCGCCACTCGCTTTCCACCAAGAAGTTCAAAAATAAAACTACAAATATACATATTATGTATGTTTTTAACATAGTGCCTAGCTTAATTCTACGTATGGCTCAAATAGTTATCTAATTCGACGCTTTCCGATACTCATCCGAAGAGGATTTAATCGTCATGGATTTTAAACGTAATACCACAATTTTGTAAACTTATAAGCCACAATTTTTTTTTAAATAATCGCTTTTCACACCACTATTTGTCCGTATTTTTGTCGGAACACGGTAAACGAAGTTGTGTGGATTGTTTTATTTAGTACATTTACTGTTTTTTTAGCCATAAGCGTGTAATAATAGTATTTGGTAACTGTTTAGCATCTGTGAAAGTGCTTCATTATTGTGGGAAAATAAATCAGTTGCTAGACGTGATTTTTCGGATTCTTCCAAAGAGTCCACTGATTTTCTGCAAAAAACCATTTTACCAACCAAAATTTTACTGAAACTCTCATCCCATCTCATCTCGTTTTATTGAATTGCGTCCCAATTTATTACAATCTCAAAGAAATCAATTTCACCGTATTTCATCATTATTATTTTTTATATAACAGAATATATAAAAGATTTGGTTGTATGGTGTGATACTTTTGCCTTTCCTGTTAAAAAGTGAAACTATTACATTACAATTTAATTTGTCGGGACTTTTTGGCGGGAAGGCAAGGTGTAAAGCTGTGCGATTTGTTTTATTTTGTCTATTTAGTGTTTCTTCAGGTTTAAATGTGTAATAGCGGTGGTTTATTAACTGTTTACTATCTGTGAAAGTGCACAAATGTGGGAAAATGAAACAAAGCCGTTGGACGTAACTTCTCGGAATCCTCCAAAAAGTCCACTGAAAAAATCTCAGTAAACGACCACCATTTTACAGAGATTATATTTCATCCCATATCTCATGTCATTTCATTTCACTCCATATTATCATTTTTCATAAAAAATATTCCATATCATATCAAATCATCTCATTTCAATTCATTTCATTTCATTTCATGCCATGCCATGTTTCATATTAAATTAATCAGCTTTATTTCATTTCATAATAACATATTTCATAAAAAAAAAATGTACATATAAAAGATTAGGCTGTATTATGTGATACCTGTGCTTTTCCATTTGGAAAAATAAAACTACTAGGACTACAAGACAGTTTAATTTATGTCGTCTGCCAATGTCAGTCTACTAGCTGATGTCGTTGTGAGTTGTCGTTTGTCAGTCTCTGCGTGGTCTCTGCCTTGTTTTTGTTTGTCCCTGTGTCGCTATATAATGGAAATCTCATCGCTCTAAATATCGCTAATAAAGTATTAAAATAAACAACAAAAATCTCAAACAATACTCAAAATGGAAGTCGACAACTTATCAAGACAGGTAAGGCACTTAAATTATTACATCAACAAGTTTCAAAACAAACAATGTAATTTTTTTAACATATTCGAATTTTTCATTTAGGTTGAAGAAATTGAAGCTTTAAAATCTATTTACACAGAAGAATTGACTATAGATAGTGAAATTACAAGGTCTTATACTATTAGAATTGAAGAAAATAAGAAAGAAGTGCTTCTTTACGTGACATTACCAGAAGATTACCCGTCGATTTCTCCACCGAAATTCGAATTGTCTGCACCGTGGATGGACAGACAAACCAAAACGAATCTTCACAAAACCTTGCACGAAATATACTTGTAAGTATATTTAAAAAAAAATCTGTTTTCCAAATAACCATGTTGTCATATTGAAAATGCTGTTTATAAATTATCATTAGCAGACTTATGGTATTTTTTGTGGTCTTTTTTTCTCTAAAATCAACATGCTTTCAATATCCAAAAGTTATGACATTAAAAGTTATAACTTTGTTATTTGAGGTTTTTTTTTTAAACTGCTGGTGTTTTTAGCATTGCCATATATTTTGTGGATTTTTTTCCAAATCACCATATGCTCATTTAAACATTTTTTTTAATTACCAATATACATTAGGCATAGCATGAATCACCATTTAATTACAAAAAAAAACATTTTCTAAATTACCATCATTATCCAGTCAATAGCCCATTTAGTCATAATGTAACAAATTGGAAGGAATGGAATGGGGGCGCCATTTACCTATAATGAACACATTCTATTCTAACACAAGTTGACATAAAGAAAATATACACCACAATCACAGTAAACCTAATGGTGATTTTATTTGAATTAACCACAATATGTACATTTAACAATAGTGTCAATTCAACATTGACAGCATAGTGATTTTAGAAAAAATAATACCACAGAATACGAGTTCAGAAAGTAATTTATGAACAACATTTTAGGAAAGATATTATGGTAATTTAAAATAAATTTGATTATTTGATGATGGTAGTAAATCAAATGCTAATTTTGATTTAAAACATAGCCTCACAGCCTTACTATATAAAACATTTGAATTCATAATGATTGTTTGGGCATAGATATACCATTGCTATTTCATTCAAACAGTGATTTATGTCAGTTCTTTCTAAAAGTATTTAAATACTTAGTGGTTTCGTCTTTCTAAATGTTGATATTGGTCAAATACTGTGCAAACATTCTTACATAAATTGCAAAACACTTAATAATGTTTCGTAGCATTGATTTCCATATACAGCTGTCACCAATAATAGAGATTATAATATATCTTTTACAATTTTTTTTTTTTTTTCGTTCAAGAAATAACTAATAAATAACATGAAACCCATCTAGGGTGTGATAAGTGTAATGAATTTAGACCTTAAATATATGATTTTTAGGGATAATGTTGGTGAGACTGTGATATTTCAATGGGTCGAGATGATAAGGGAAGTGCTACAAACCGTATGCAAAGTAGAAAAAAAAATTGAAGTCACGGAACCTGAAGTCGACAGTTTGGATCTCACTACGGTATATGTTTTATAATAATTTTCTTCTCTCTATAATAAACCTGAATGTTTTAAAGAAAGGAAAAATGCATAGGTAAATACAATAATCAGGTGTTTAATTTCTAGAGTCATATGACATGTCCTTTGTCAAATGAGATTTGAGGAGATTCCTCAGTAGTCAGCGACTTGGCTATGCCTAATTTCTAGAAGAGCTGCATACCTATTGAAAACTGATTTGAGTAAAAAAAAGTTATGATAATAGTAATATAAAGAAACATGCAGACAATCTGTATTTTGAGTGTAACAACCACTTGGTGGAAGATCATGTCTTTGTAATAGAAACAACAACTTTAAACTGCAACAAAACTAAGCTTTACATACTTGCCATCTATAAGCCTAGAAACATCAGCATGCATGAACACAAACTGGTAAAATTTAAATATTAACTATAGGTAAAACAATAATACTAACGTTTCCTTTAGATAGTTATTCTGCTATTTCAACCTGAACAAAATAATGGGGTGTTATTGACATGTACTCATAGAGACAACAAGACAAGAGATAAGCACAATCATATGAATGTGGTATTACTTGTGGTAGGACCTCTTGCTAGTCCGCACGGGTAAGTACCACCACGCCGTCTATGTCTGCCGTGAAGCAGTAACGCGTTTTGGTTTGAAGGGTGGGGTAGCCGTTGTAACTATACTGAGACCTTAGAACTTATATCTCAAGGTGGGTGGCGCATTTATGTTGTAGATATTTATGGGCTCCAGTAACCACTTAACACCAGGTTGGCTGTGAGATCGTCCACACATCTAAGCATTAAAAAATAAAAAGGGCAATATATGTGAGATTTGTAATAATCATTATTTTTCAGATAGAAATAAACTGCCCTGAAATTACACATGGTGAAATCATAGCAGACAGGAAGAGCATATTCCAAGGACATGCAGCTGAAGTACACAGTATAGATGATGTAAAGTGAGTAGAGTAATCAATAGAAGCAATCATGCATTCTGGTCTTAAGGGTGTGATAGATATTATAAGGCACAGTTGAGACTGATCAAAAGTCTCAAAGTTAATTAATGGCGGTAATCACTATAGATAGCACACATCAATGGTAATCACTTTGTAACTCCTATGAACTCTGGTAACCATCTCAAAAGATCCTTGGTCATGTATATGTGCAAAAAATATTGAGGTCCATTAGGCATAAGTTCTTGTGGTAATTTAATATAAAATCTTTTCAGAAATAAGAGCTATAAGCTTCTTATTCGCACTAGTCTGAGCGTACTGTGTGGGAAAGCAAGAGAGTTATCTCAATATGCTGTAAAACTTGCTTATCTCTCAATATTTCAACAACCAATTCAAGTTAGTTAGTCTACAAAACATTTTGTAATCAATTATATTTTTCTCTAATAATGGTTTGAGCAAACAAAATTAACCCATTCTACACTATAGTTTAAATGTAAGTTTGACTAAAGTAAAAACAGAATTTTAGATGGATAGTCTTTTTTTTTCAGAGCTGTACTAAATAAATTAAAACAGAACAGAAAGATCCTAAATGCTACACATAATATGTATGCATATAGAATAGAAAGAAAAACTGCTAAAGGTACGAATGTACTTCAAGACTGTGATGATGACGGGGAAGCTCACGCCGGAGGTAGAATGTTGCATCTACTGCAAGTTTTGAATCAGAAAAACACACTTGTTGTTGTGTCGAGATGGTGAGTTTGACTTTAATTAATCCTTATTTATGTCAGTAAGAAATCGACTAAAACTATAAGTCGTCGTGGCCTAAAAAATAAAACGTTCAGTGCATTCGTGTTGAGCGATGCACCGGTGTTCGAATCCCGCAGGCGGGTACCAATTTTCTAATAAAATACGTAGTTAACAAATGTTCACGATTGACTTCCACGGTGAAGGAATAACATTGTGTAATAAAAATCAAACCCGCAAATTAAATTTGCGGAATTACTGGTGGTAGGACCTCTTGTGAGTCTGCAGGGGTATGTACCACCACCCTGCCCATTTCTAGCTTGAAGCAGTAATGCGTATCGGTTTGAAGGGTGGGGTAGCCGTTGTATACTGAGAACTTAGAACTGATATCTCAAGGTGGGTGGGGCATTTACGCTGTAGATGTCTATGGGCTCCAGTAACCACTTAACACCAGGTGGGCTGTGAGCTCGTCCAACCATCTAAGCAATAAATAAAAAAAATTAAGTTGTTTATATGGAACCTTAATAGTCAGGTTTCACATGTAGAGGCTTAGTGCAAATTCCATTTTCGTTTGTTGATAAGTTTTGCTGTTAAGATAACCTTGAAAAATAGGATTTTGTGTCTAAGCCCAAAGTTCATAAAAAAATTAAGAAATTCATATTAAAATTACCATCAGCATTACTAGTGTGAAACTTTTTGTAAATGTATGGTACAGAATGAAGAGTCTAAACCAGCCTTTCCCAAAGTGGGCGATAACGCCCCCTTGTGGGCGCTGCAGGCCTAAAGGGGGGTGGTAAGAGACCCAGAAAAAAATTGGGGCACTGTGTAGAAGCTTAGGAGGCGATTTGTAATTTTATCTAGGAGGACGCTATAGTGGTCATGGTAGGTGATAAAATGGGGGTGCTAAAAAATAATTTATTCTCAAAGGGGGAAGTAGACAAAATAAGTTTGGGAATCCCTAGTCCAAACACTGATACAGGGCTTTGTTCATTATCATACTGATTTTATGAAAAAATCCATTTATATTATTATTTTAATACAAATAACATATTAAATCAAAGTAGAGTTGCATAGTTTTTAAAGTTATTTAAATGAATGTGTGGAGAGAGTGCTTTCAGAGTATTAAAAAATATATTTATATACATGAAATATTTTGCCAGGTATGGAGGAGTACAATTAGGGCCGGACAGATTCCGTCACATAAACAATGCAAGCCGACAAGTCATTCAGCAAGCTGGACTATTGAAGAAATGACTTTGACATTATAATATTAGTTTAATATTGTACATAGGATACTGTTTTATTTTAAAATTAAATGTGATTTTTTGTGTACCAAGTTGTTGTTGTTTTTTTAATTAATTTTAAAAACACCAATTTTCATATTCGTTTTTTGGCAATTAATTTTCTCTTCACCAGTACCATCACCCTGCCTATTTCTAATCTAAACAGAACTAAAGCTCATTTCTAAAGGCGAGTAGCCGCATTTGCAATATTGATGTCAATAAGCTTTAAAAACCACTTAGAATCAGGGCCGTTAGCTCTATTGTCTACAATGAAAAAAAAACAATAGCTACAACATTATAGATTATATTTGAAATTAAAATTATTGATATATATTTTAAATAAGCCGAGTTAAACACTAATCAGGAAGTTAGAATAATCAGATAAAAGTCATATTAAGTAAAAATACTCTATATTTACATTCACATGATGAACAAATTGCATTTCGTCATTCTTCTTCATGTTACTTGACATTAGTGTCTTGAACTCTTGGCGTTATCACTCGTCTTCACTGTTATACATCTCTTATCCAGAAACTTGAGAAGATCCTGAAATTAAGAACAACAATAGAAGTGTTTTATTGCAAACTAGCGGCCCTCTCCGGCTCCGCTCGGGTCTTTAACAAAAATTTCAACGATATTTGACGTTGTTTTATTTAAAAAATAAAAGAACACTTATTGCGGGATGAATGACAAAGTTTATTGTCGGAGGCCAAAACCCACTTCGGGGTCATAGCGCCAGCTCAGTAGTAGTAGTAGTAGTATTGCGGCATAACTATAATATTTAGGCATATGCTGTCGCGACACTTTCTGTAAATAATAAAGTGTTCTACAAAGTCTTAGTACATTCTTTTATTCTATCATCAATAGTTTTCGCAGCACACGCGATGTAAAGAATATTTTAGGTAATTTTTTTACACCTTGCGTTACATTATTGGAGTTTTAGTAAGGATCCCTAATTTTTTCAAAACAGCCTATGTCACTCGGGAATAGTGTAGTTAACAAACAGTGAAAGTGAAAGAATTTTGCAGATCGCTTCAGTAGTTTCGGAGCCTATTCAATACAAACAAACAAACAAATCATTTTTTTTTATTGCTTAGATGGGTGGACGAGCTCACAGCCCACCTGGTAAGTGGTTACTGGAGCCCATAGACATCTACAACGTAAATGCGCCGCTCACCTTGAGATATAAGTTCTAAGGTCTCAGTATGGTTACAACGGCTGCCCCCCCTTCAAACCGAAACGCATTACTACTTCACGGCAGAAATAGGCGGGGCGGTGGTTACCTACCCGCGCGGACTCACAAGAGATCCTACCTCCAGTAATGTTACATAACAGTGTAACATAAACTCACCTTGGGATCATATCTGTGACCGTAGCCGGCTAATTCTTTGTGAATAACATCTATATTGACTGGCTCGTATTTCAGAATCGCCTCCCGAAGTCCGCTGCGACACGACACGTAGTTGTGGAATGCTATGTGCAGAGGAAGTCTGCATGAGTGCACCTGGAATATTACTATTGATTAACTTGGGGCCTGACAAAACTCTTCACCTTAATACTAAGATACTAATATATATATATAAAAATGAATTGCTGTTCGTTAGTCTCTCTAAAACTCGACAACGGCTGGACCGATTTGGATAATTTTGGCCTTGAATTATTTGTCGAAATCCAGAGAAGGTTTAAAAGGTAGATAAATATGAAAATTCTCGAAATTAAATAAAGTTTAGGTCTTTTATTTACTACGAAGTCTGCCGGGTCAGCTAGTACTAATTAAAACTCAAAATAATTCTTACGACACTAAAAGTAGAATTCATTATCGCAATTCACTTTGGGTTTTTTTTCCTATCTATTCTAGTAACCTCGAGGGATTATTCTCGATTCACCGAATTAGTAAGTGAGCTCGCGGGTCTCAAACCTGACGACGTTGCTAGCACTGGCCCTAGTAAGAGCAGGGCTTCGCAGATTCTACCACCGGATCGGAAACGCGACCCNATAATTCTTACGACACTAAAAGTAGAATTCATTATCGCAATTCACTTTGGGTTTTTTTTCCTATCTATTCTAGTAACCTCGAGGGATTATTCTCGATTCACCGAATTAGTAAGTGAGCTCGCGGGTCTCAAACCTGACGACGTTGCTAGCACTGGCCCTAGTAAGAGCAGGGCTTCGCAGATTCTACCACCGGATCGGAAACGCGACCCACTGAGAAGATCCGGCGAGAAACTCAGTGGGCTGTGTCTGTGGGTTAATTTACTCGCCGAGCCCTTTGTCCAAACAACGGGTTCGATGAGAACGATGACCGATTTCTTAAGGTATATCCTTCGTAACTTCGCTTCACCTTCAGATCATCCACTCTACTATTTCTAAAATTTTCTAGGATATTCCCATTAATACAAGCGCAATAGTCGGCAACCTTGGCAACCTTGTCAACCAAAAGAGCCAAATATAGAAAATAAGTATAAGGCAAGTTAAGTAATATTCCGATGTCTGAACTAAAAATTTTGCAGAAGAGCCGTAGTTAAGAAGTCAGAGTCGCGGGTAGTCAACCACTGGCTGAGTTTTTTTAGTATCGGTTTTCCTATTTGACGACAGATGGCGTTACCTGTACTGACTTAACAATTTTAACGCGACGACTTTTAAATGTAAAACCAAGTAGCCTAATCCAAGAGCTTTTTAACTAATTAAACCGTATTAAAAACTAATATAACAAGGTATCGCTTAAGGCTGGAAATTTAATCAGCATTAAAATGAAATGCACCTTTGCTCTTTCCTTTTTTTGAAACATCCAATCGTCAGAGTGACATTCCACTTCTCTTATCACGGGCGTTTCATTCGTAGCTTCATAGCAATCCTCTATATTCACATTATGCTTGATGGGAGAATCCTTTTTGGCACTTATTGCTTTCGGGCTATTTCTCTTGCGTTTTTTCGATGGTGATGCTATTACGTCAGCTGGCATCTCTTCGATCAAAGGATGAGTTTGGTTGTAGAGATGGGTCAAGAGTTGTATGGCTGAAATTTTAAAAGATACTAGGTTATGAAGTTCACCTTACTTTTTTTCCTACCAAGCTGATAGCCTTGAGAGGCTATGTCAGCAAATAGGTGGGCCCACGGGGCTCAAACCTGACGACGTTACTAACACTAGCCCTAGCAATAGCAGTGCTTCGCAGAATCTGCCACCGGATCGGAAACGCGACCCACTTAGAAGATCCGGCGAGAAACTCAGTGGACTGTCTTTACTGATTACAACTTCAAGCAAACGGTTACTGAAGTCCATGGCCAGAACTATACGAATGTCGCCCGTCTTGACACATGAGGTCAAGTCTCAATGGTATTTTTTTTATTGCTTAGTTGGGTCGACGAGCTCACAGCCCATCTGGTATTAAGTGGTTACTGGAGCCCATAGACATCTACAGCGTAAATTCCGCCACCCACTTGAAGTATAAGTCTAAGGTCTCAGTATAGTTAACCTACGGCTACCCCACCCTACAAACCGAAACGCATTACTGCTGGTACTGGAATGGTATATTCCAACCACCAAAACTTCATATATTTGGATGTTTGATTTTTACTACATGATGTTTTACCTACAACCTGTGTACCTTTCAACCGGCAATAACTTTAACCTATGCTAGAGAGACAGCACTTCATCAGACCTTAATTTAATTAATAAGTTCTGATGGCTCAAGTAGCTGTAGCATTGTTTGTAACATTAATGTTAGTTGCTCCACTAAAAAAAATACAAGTGCAGAAGTTTTAGATACCACAGTGTATCAAAATATAGCACGGAATCAATGTTTTTAAATTAGATTTTTTTTAATATTGTACTATTATGTAATCACCTCTTTTCCTCTTCAAAGGTTTTAATCCGTACTTATATAATTCCCTGTTTCTCTCTGGACTGGTCATTGATGCATAATCTTGCATTGGAGTTACTTCGTCCAATTTTATTATGAAATCATTATTTTTTGGTGTTTCTGTTCTAAAAATATTTTTTTCTCTTGAAGGAGTTACGCTATTTGAACTCAATACTTCATTTTGTAAATTAATTGCAGAAGTATATTCATTATCATTAAATTCCACATCATCTTTCTGCTTATCGGCTGTTTCACTTTCAAATGATTCTTGATTTTGAACTTTTTTATCTAGATATGTTAGTTTGGCTTTATCAGAATTCTCAAATCTAGATTTATTCAATGAATAATCCAATTCATTGTCATGTATTTCAAATATTTCAGACTTTTGACTAAGTTCAACATCCTGAATTTCAATAGGGTCTATTTTTGAGGAATTTTCATTTGATGAATAAACTGTATGTTTTCCACTTTGAATTTCATCATAATCTATAGAAATATTGTCCATTTTACCAAGTGCACTCAAACATAGATTTGGGGATTCCCTGTCAGAGCCATTGGGTGAATTTGAGGATTGTGTTAAATCGATTTCTTCTTCACAATCTTTTACAATTTCTTTAAATACCTCTGCATTTTCGTTTTCTATAGAATCATTTAAAGTATGATTTTTTGAATAATTTTCATGTTCAGTATTGTTTTTTGCTTTTTTTAAATCTATATCATCAGTATCATTTAGCAATTCAGGGCTCTGAGTTAGATCGATTTCTTCATTACCATTATCTAAATTTCGACTTTCAATATTGTTACTTGCTTCTGAATCTTGAAAAGGCACTTCAATAGTCACATTTTCTTTGCTGTCATGATCATGAATAAAATCATCAAAGAAACTTTGACATTCTCTTTTAGCAGAAATATCTTTGTCTTGTGTGAGATCTAATACTTCTTTTGTTTCAAACCTTTTATTGGACAGAGTTCTAGTATATTCATCAGCATCTATAACATCAATATCCAGGTTATTTTTACTATTTCTTGGCATACTAGGCTTTTCTAAATCATCTTCTGTGTGGTTTTCTTCTAATATGATATTAATATGGTCAACAGTTAAATCAATTTTACTTACAACAGTTTTTAAACTTGACACACATTCAGTCATGTCCATAAAATCATTGGACCTCCTTCTAGTTATATTTTTATTTTCCATGATTGCGCTTTTCGATGTAATTTGAGATACATGATTCAAGCATTCTGTTAAATCCATACTAATATGTTTTTCTTGTGATATAAGTTGAGCATGTCGACTATTATCCATTAACGAAGATTCATCATCAAATATGTCTGGCGAATAACATCTGTGTTGAGTTACACTTTCTATAACAATATTATCTTCTGGTTTATTGTTACTCCTTTTCTCTTCATCTCCTGAATATTTTGGAGCATTGTTTGTTTTAAAAACCATGATTTCAGTTCGTCTTTTGAATGTACCACTTAATAAATCGTCTAATTCACTTTGACTGCAATCTATATCACTAAAGCTGATAAAATTGTTGGCAATTCTGGGGCTAACTGGCCTCCCTGGTATTTCAGTCCAGTCTCTTAATAAATTAAATGCACTTGTAGATTTTTCTAATAAGTTTTCCACATAAAATATATGATTATCTTTTATATGTTCATATGAAACATTAGTTGATAGATTATATAAATGACTATTACTAATATTAGATTCTATTTTGTGATCTATACGGTCAATATCTTCTAATAATACACAAGAATATTTCTCAGATATGTTTTGTTGTTTCTCTATATCTGAAAGAGAAATCAGTTTATACTGTTTTCTATTTTTCTTGATTTTTTTTGATGTTGTTATTTTAGTTTCTGGTACAACAAAACCATATTCCTGTAATGTTGCATGTATTTTTTTAGTTCTTTCTTGGGAATTTCGAAAATTCTGTGGATTTACATCTGAAGGTTCAGCTTGAAGAGACTTTGATAAAGCTACTGCCAACTGCAACTGTTCTGAATCTACATCAATACCTGTCTTCTCGCATACGTTATTAAATTCTTTACTAAACTCAATTAACTCATTATTCTTTCTTTTTAAAGAAGTTCTTATATCTTTCTGCTTGCAGATTCTTTTTCCATTCTTTCTCTGTTTCCTGGCAGGCTTTATAATTTTAGGGCTGGTAATGATTCTCTTAGTTTCTTTAAAATCTTCAAGACTCTCATCTGCTGCTCTCGTGAAATATTTACTTATCACATTCTTGTCTTTAGTGCTGGCAACAAATAAAACAATTTGTGTAGTTTAATAGTTTATTATCATATGTACATACTGTATTTTAATAATTCTGATATTCTCAAGCAATGAATACACGGTGTTACAGAAATCCCTGAGAACAAAATGTTAACAATATTTTGTTTATTTTTTTTAATTCATTTAATGATTCTTAATACAGATAAATTTTATTTATGACTTTCTAATATTTTACGAAATTGGTAGATTAATTCCTGAACAATCATTTACTATCATTCTCTTCTTAGAGATGGCTTGAACTAAATCATCTAATCATTCGCAGCATTCACTGTTATGTTATAAATAAAATAATTCACATTTTATTGTAAATATTCATATCATTTAATAGAGACTTGTTTTTTTATAAGCACATTACCTATTATTACTACTATCACACATTCTCTATTTATCCGGCCTATCGGGGCGCTCATATCCATCTATTAGGGCACGTATCTGATCACCAGTTCTATTTGGTAGGCCGCTGGCTATCAATAATCTCCTTTCCACCTCTTCTATGGGATCCTCATATAATTTTTCTGCAGCTCGACGAAGATTCTGTGTTATGCTCGCATTACTAAAAGTTTAAGATAACTTTTAATGGTAAATACTGTGTTCGCGATATGTTGTACACGGACTTAATTCTTTCCATAAATTGTTGTCACTTAATTATTCTAAGTTTTATTTTAATAATTATAGAAAAAAGGGACGGCTTGAATGGACAGAACCAGAATTTTTATGGAAATATTGTTGAGGTTCAGAATTTAAAATATACATAACCTCAAAATTATTACTGTACAATTTTAGAGAAAACTTACTGAAAATAAAAGCCACATCCTGCTCCTATTAATAAGCTACCGATAGCAATTGCACTACCAAATTTTCCTGCAGGAGTTCCTGATATTTTTCTTGGCTTCCACTTTGACGTATCAATTCCGATAGCCATTTTGGGCGTTTCGTTTTAAATTAATTTTACCTTCAAGGTTTTGGCATTAAAAACTAAAAAGTTCTTCGTTCGTCTCTTCAGGTTTAATGTGTAATAACGGTGGTTTAATAACCGTTTCGAATCTGTGAAAGCGCACAAATGTGAGAAAATGAAACAAAGCCGCTGGGCGTAACTTCTTTGAATAATCCAAAAAGTTCTCTGCAAAGCGCTCAATAAATGACCACCATTTTACTGAGATTTTCATAATCTCATCCCATATCATCAATCATCTCATTTCATATGATTTCATTTCATTTTATATTATCATTTTTCATATAATAAAGTATATAAAAGATGAGGCTGTATGGTATGTGATACCTTTGCCTTTCTAATTAGAAAAATGAAATTACTACTACTTGAAAACAAAACATTCCAACCTATGAAATAATACTAGTAAAGGTAATTTTTATTCTTCGAACACAAATATTTATTTACATGTATCCAACGTAAATATAGGATCATCTGAACAAATCGTATGTGCTTGAAATTAGTTAAACTCTAAATATGTCATTACTTCAAAAGCTAGCGTATAACGACTATAAAAAGGCAAAAGATTTTACAGTACATCAATGTGAAACAATCGCTAACTTAGCGAAACTCAAGTGAGTAATTTAAAGAAAATATATAAATGTAATAAACACAACTGATTAGATACATCTCGTCATCATGGTCTAATTTATTAAATTATTAATTTTACACTAGTACATAGCAGACATCGTCCTACCTAATACCGAAACGTTTATTTGACAGTCACAGCTGGTAATTAAATAAATATTTTTTTCATGTATGTTTAGTACAACGTTTACAAATGTAGAGTGCCCAGGAGAGCATTTACTGAGAAAATTAGATCTAAGTGGCTGTTCTGTGTCACAATACAAAGTATTGCTCAGTGCCTTGAGGAAATATCGACCACATTCGAAGATAGCTGTTTTAATTGCAAATAACTTATATACACATCTATCAAAACTCGCCACTCCCGCTGTAGACTGTGACTCTTTGTCCCTGCATTTGAAAAGTTTGGGATTTATTGTTGTGACCGTAAAGAATACACACGCAAGTCATTTAAAGGATATTGTTGGAAGAATATCTCATGTCATACCGCCTGATTCATATTGTAAGTGATTAAATCATTTTAAAATATTTAATATACAGAATTCAATTTAAATATGATTAATGTTGTCTTAATTTTACCTATAGAGACAAAAAATTAAATATTATGTAAAATATAAATTTACTTATTAGTTTAATAATTTATCGTTTATTATTAACAAAAAGTTAAATCAAAATAATTAAACATACATCAACCCACACAGTAGAACAGATCTTCCAATGCGCTTGAAGGAGGCACAGTTCCCAAGATACTGGCTGCGTTGCCTTGTTGGACAGCCAGACTCACAATTTATTAGTTGATTTCATTAATAATTTTCAATTAATATTTTTATTATAGTGTAAGCATATAATATTATAATTTTTACTTACAATTAATATTTTTAGTGCAATGTGGATTTTGTTTCAAGTAATAATTTATTTTAGGAAATATTTGAATTATTTGAATATAAAAATTTACAGTTTCATATTTGTATTGTTCTAGGTTTTATATTTTATGCTGGTCATGGCTGCCAAATAGGTAACACAAAGTGTATGCTGGGCATTGACTGTCCCACAGAAAATATACAGAATGAACATTGTATGACCGAAAATAACATGCTGAAACAATTTGAAAGATGTAATTTAGATTTATGTGTATTTATTTTGGACATGTGTAGAATCAATCTTGACAGGTATGCAAATCACATTAGCAATATGTTGTGACTATAGTCAATATCATTAAATATTATTCATAAATCTAGTTTGATAACATGTCATATGAATTTTGGAGTACCTTAGAAGAGGATTTATTCTAAGTCCCTACAATGACAATTTTGTCCCATGTTTTTTTTTCAATTGCTTTGATGGGGGGACGAGCTCCTAGTGTTATTACCGGAACCCATAGACATCTACAACGTAAATACCACCATCTACCTTGATATATGAGTTATAAAATCGAAGGCTGAAACGCATTACTGCTTCGTGGTAGAAATAGGCTGGGTGGTGGTACCTACCTGTGTGGAAAACATAAATATGATATAATGTGAGGTAGTTAAGATTTAAAGGTTTAAACCTAGATTTTTTATAGCATTTGTCCGTCAGATGATCTAATTTTGACCTCTGAGAAAAGAAAGAAAAAAGTGCTTACATGTACAGGTAAAGCTTGCTAAAATCAATACACTTTTTCAGAGAAACAAATCCTGATATATCAAATTCAATTGTTTTTACTGAAGATTACATTGTCCACAAAAATCTACTGATAAGTTATTCAACGCAATCATCGCAATCAGCTTATGAAGTGCTCGAAATTGAGTGCTCAACTACTATTAATTTTGATGAAACGTACGAGCTAAAGACTGGTGACACAGACCGTATTGTGCCTGGAGCCAGTCAGTATGTTAAAGCTTTGTGCAATAGGATTGGAGAGGATTGTGATGTCAGTAGTCTTCTTGATAGAGTGCACGGTGGTAAGTATGGCTTAACATCGATTTTCGGAACAAATTCCTTAACACAATTTATGGTAAGAGTTGACAGATAAAAAAGTCATGTAACAAGAAAACGTCTCTGCATGCAATGTTTTCTCTCTGTCTATTTCCATTATGTATCTCTGAGTGTTTTTATACAGACTATACCTAATGCAATGTTGTATCGACATTTTTCTATTTAATGAATATTTTTCTCGACTTTTTTGTTAATAGGGATCATCTCTGTCAGGGGTGACGCCCCAAATTTTTGGAGTTTACTCCTTTAGAATCGATTTACATATATAGGCCCGGGGTATGAAAATTATGGGGACCAAAATCGTACTAGCATGTCACACGAAATGCGTTATGCGCCTGATTGGCTCCTGATTGCGTGATGCGTGCGCGCGCCAATCAAAATCGTACTAGCATGTCACACGAAATGCGTTATGCGCCTGATTGGCTCCNACTGGGAACAACTAGATATGATACCACTATTGATGCGATGTTTTCGCGATTTATTACACATATATCGTCCGACGTCCATGTATCGTATTTTAGTTACCACAAACCGATCGTCTCAGTATTCAATGATGTTGATATTGTTCCTGGAATAAATACACCGCAAGGTGATGTAAATAGTGAATAAAATCAATCTTGCTCAACATTCTATTATATTAAATTATTATTGTTTATATTTTTTCATGGCTTCCTTATGTATGTCAAAAAATTTATTGTATAATTAATAGAATAAAAATCTACCGTGCATAATCTAAGTATCATCAAAAATGCATTCATTTATACCCGTATTCCCTTATCTATTTATTTATTTTATAATCGTTCTTGAGGAGTAAACTCCAGTCGTGCGTCGGAGCGGACACACACACTTTTTTTTATAATAATATTCAGTTGGTATTTTTCAATCAGGGCCTCTATTAAGCGTCCTTGTGAATTGTGAGCCCAGCATGACCGTTTGACTTTTTCTTCTGCGAAGTAGCCTTGCGTTCCATTGTAAAAATGGGATAAAACAATGAGACAAACCTCATGTTTCAAGTTAGGTGGCAGCATTATTAATTTAAGAATGTTTTCCTTACAGATGTCGAAAATTCACTTCGGAAACAAAAACCAATAAAAGTACAATGCGGTGTTGAAAAACGCCAACTGAACGACGTTCCGAATTGTAAGTAACTTCCATTTTTTATTTGAACACTTCCTTACAACTGTTTGGTTTTCAAACTGTGATACCGTGTCTCAAGATTAGGCAGCGGCATTCACAAGCGATTAGCTTTGATCTAGTTTCTTCTCTCAAATAAATAAATCGCAAAACGGAATGTAACTCGTACTGTGAATCCCACAAAAATGGACGGATTATGTGTTATTGTTCGTTTTACTCATTAAATATATTCATCTAATACTTGAATTGGTGGAAAAAGGCAATTTTCGTATTTAAGAAGTTCCTAAATTTAGATTTGAAAAGAAACCAAACCATATGGTAGGAAGAGATAAGGGGCTATGTGCTTTATGATAGGTTACATAGTTTTAAGCGGTCGCTGGAAACTCACCCCGGTCATCGTTCTCGTCGAACCCGTCGCTTGCGACGAAGGGAAGTGAGTAAATTAAACCATAAACACAGCCCACTGAGTAAATTAACCCATAGACACAGCCCACTGAGTTCATTTACCCACAGACACAGACCACTTGAGTTTCTCGCCAGACCTTTTCAGTGGGTCGTGTTTCCGATCCGGTGGTAGATTCTGCAAAGCATGGCTCTTGCTAGGGTTCGTGTTAGCAACATCGTCAGGTTTGAGCCCCGTGAGCTCACCTACTAGTTAAGGTTACACTGATATAGTCTCCCTAGACCATCATACAGCTTAGGTAGGAAAAAAAATGAAACTCACCAACACCAGTCATAAGAAACTGAACACTTCAAAAGGTCTTAAAATGCAACTGTCTTTCTCTTGCAGATATCTAATTAATCTAATATAGTTTATAATGTTACAGGTGAACCGATTACATTAATCAACAAATTGAAGGAGTCGATAAAAGATTATACAAACTACTGTGATGTTTTTTGAATATTCAAATAAAGAACAGATTATTGTGACAAGAATATAATTCTTATTTAAATACAACTTTTTTTATAACAACAATTATTTTTGTATTTCTTTTTAAAAATCCAGTTATCAGTCTATAATACGATTTTTACATTTTCTTAATAAGCATATGAGGCTGAAAATGATTAACAATGTTAACCCACCAACTGTCTTCAACTCCTTTTGTGAACTCTCTGATAAATCTGTAGTTCAAAATGAATATGTTATCCTGGTACTGGGGTTGAGCTCTGCAAAGAAAGAAGACATATTAAACTCAATTTGATATCTATGCCTTCATTTTTATGATATCACTATTTTAAATAATTATAAAAAGTCTGTAGTTCAAAATGAATATGTTATCCTGGTACTGGGGTTGAGCTCTGCAAAGAAAGACAAGACATATTAAACTCAATTTGATATCTATGCCTTCATTTTTATGATATCACTATTTTAAATAATTATAAAAAGTCTAAGTTATTCTTAGATATCTTATATGACTCCCAAGAGGTCCTACCACCAGTAAAAATCTCATAAGCACTAAGACCTGCACTGTAAGGAGAACTTATTTTTTTTATACCCAGTAATATATAATGTATTACAAAGGTAGTAAATGGCAAATCGAGATTTTTTTTCACAATTTAAATTAATTATTGTTTATTTTTCATAAAACAACTTATGATAGAATTTCAAAGATAAAACAAGACTGCAGGTGAAACAGCAGTTACAGATAAAATAAGAAATTTGAATGACTATTGAATTAAAAATTTACTAAATTTCTTATGGAAAGCATGCACAAGTGCTTGGTTATCATTTAGAATTTGTTTTGAAATAAAAATGATAATTTTAAAATGCCAAGATCCTCAGTGTGCGAACTTGTTTAAAAAAAGTAGTTACCCTAAAGTTATTGGAGGCATGTCACCGCTTTCCTTCATATTTTTCAGTCCTCTTAACACATGATAACACATTGTGATTTCAACCCAACGCTTATCCGAATCATCAAAAATTACTCCAACCTGAAATTAAAACAAGTTTGATAGTTATATTTATGTTCTATTGTATGGGCACTGAAATGTTTTGGAGATGTTGATGTGGGTTGCAGTTCATGAGATTATCTATTCTACTATAATACTATGTATCTAATTGTCATTGATAGACTAGATATTTAAGATTGCACAAGACTTGAACAAAATAATAGTGAGTTATATATATAGCACTCTTATTTTTCTTTACCCTGAATATGATTATACAAAATTTCATGATGATTAGTTTGTATTTATACTCACTTTTGTATTTATAATGTAATAAGTACATATTGATTTGAATAATTAATTTTAGGGAATGTCACTTATATTTTTAGGCTAAGGTTGTTTTATTTAAACATAAGGATCTTTTATTATTTGAACAGAGTACTGAAAAAAGACACTACTACTAGTAATAGTATTATATTAAGCAATTGCAGACCCACTGAATAATTGAACTTGCTCTTGTTGGATTTGTATATGTGGACTTTAATACTAATAATTACTAGCTAATAATTACTAGTAATAAGGTCTTGTGTGACTTCACAGCTGCATACTGCCTTATTCTGCCACTAGGCAGTAATGCATTCCAGTTTGAAGCTTAGACATCAAGTGAAGATGGATGAAAGCATTCATATATTAATGACTCTGATAACCATGAACAACAGGAGGCCGTGAGCTAGTTCACTTGTTGCTATAATAAAAATATTTAAAATACAGTAAGATATTATTAGTGAAAAGAATTACCTGATAAGGAAATGCATAAAATATATCTTCTTTTTCTATGGCTAACAATTGCCGCTGGGACACAGAAAGTTGAGACACAGCAGTCTTTAGTGCATTAATAGCATCTTTATCCACCAGACCCTCTAGAGTTTTGAAATCACTGTTTTGTAGTGCTCCTGAAACAATCTAACAAGAAAAATTAGTTACCTGTTATAAAAAAGTGGTCTAAATTCATACTCAACATATTATTGTGATTTTTTAATGTTGGAGATTGTTGATGGATAAGATGCTTGGTGTATTGGTTTATTAGTATGGTGATTCAAAGCAATTGTCTATTTATAATATATTTTATTCTATCTATTGTCTATATTGTATAAAATTTACTCATAAAAAATGGCAATATTTTTTTACTGTTATTAGGGCATTATGATCTTGCATAGGTAAGCACCACAATGCTGTCTTGTGCTGCTTAAAATTATCTGTTATAGTTTGAAAGGTAAGAGAGTTGTTATACAAGACAGTTAGAATTTATGCCTTATGTATCAAAATCAGGGGTGGTATTCAAATGCCATTTCCATTAGTAGCCACTTGACATCAGGTCAGTTGAGAGTTAACCATTTACTGCAATAAATAAAATCTTAATCTATGGTACATTTGATTTCACAAACATACTTACTGAGTAATACATTTATGTTTTTTTAAATAGATGTCATCAATCCAAGTTATTTATATTTTTAACTTTTAATTTTTTTTATTGCTTAGATGGGTGGACTAGCTCACAGCCCACCTGGTGTTTAGTGGTTACTGGAGCCCATAGACATCTACGACGTAAATGCGCCACCCACCTTGAGATATCAGTTTTAGGGTCCCAGTATAGTTACAACGGCTGCCCCGCCCTTCAAGCCGAAGCGCATTACTGCTTCACGGCAGAAATAGGCAGAGTGGTGGTACCTANTTTTTTTTATTGCTTAGATGGGTGGACTAGCTCACAGCCCACCTGGTGTTTAGTGGTTACTGGAGCCCATAGACATCTACGACGTAAATGCGCCACCCACCTTGAGATATCAGTTTTAGGGTCCCAGTATAGTTACAACGGCTGCCCCGCCCTTCAAGCCGAAGCGCATTACTGCTTCACGGCAGAAATAGGCAGAGTGGTGGTACCTACCCGCGCGAACTTACAAGAGGTTCTACACCAGTAAAAAACTACTCTCCAAATAGAATTTTTTTTTAATCGGCAATTTGCCATTACTAAGATTGGTATTTACCAATATTACGTACATAAATTGTAATATACCTAGTTTATAGTACAAATTTAAAGTTATATCATATAATAACGTTACCTGAACTGCATGTTTGGAAGCTTCAATGAACTCGTTCAGACTAAATTCTTGATCAAAATACGGTCTTATAATAAAATTTGAAAACATCCAATTCTTTACGTATTTTATGAATGAAGGCCACATTATCGGCGGGAATTCCATCAATTGAGGCAACTTCCGTGTTTCTGTTCCTTGTTCGGAATATTTTCGATATTGTATAATAGGACATTTTGAGGTTATTGCTATTTGTTTTGGTACATTATTATAAGCGATTTTATCGCATAGCCGTAACGATTGCCTCGTTAAAACATGCCTTAATACTAAATTCATATTTCGCAAATAATTATCAAAATATTATTCAATCTAAATAAAAAAGGTATTCTTTAAACCAAAACAATCTCACAACATTCGAATTAGGGATGAGGATTCGAGATCGATTAATCGAAGAACCGATTTTTCGAGTCAGAAAAATCGATTTTTTTAAATCGATATGTAGTTCTGAATTGATTCAGTGAATCTATATTTCACTCTTGAAAATTGACATTCGATTTTTTCAGTTTTGGTAAGAACCACAAAATTATTTCCAATAAGTATTTAATTTAATTTTTCAACCAATAAAGAATCAGGGGCCATATTTTTGCGATAATTCGATACTCAGTTAGCTTTATACTTATTTTGATTTCATCTATTTTAATAATTATTAATAATAATATATATATAATATATAATATAGAGGATAAAGGATTAGTTGAATGTACCCGTAATATTATACGGTATTGTCGGTTAAAGAGTTAATGGCTCAAAAATTCACTATAAGCTGAACTATCTATTTTCTTCACTTTTTAATGTAACAAATACATTTAAAAAATAAATGTCTTCTTTCAAACCTGACCTGATACTTTGACATGGTAATAAAATAATTTATAATTACAAAATAATTTATTAAAAAATAATTTTCTATAATTGTCATTATCGAATTCTCTGAACTAAAAAATTCCGTGATTTTACTGATAAGAGGTCTAGAGGTATTATGGTATTTTTCTTGTTTTTAATAAAATGGATTTATATTTACATTGTAAATGAACTCTTGAAAAAAATCGATTTTTAAGGAATCGATCTTTTGGATCTCAATTTTTTTGTGAATCGATTTATTACGTTACGATTTGAATCGATTTAAAAATCGATCTTTTTCGTCAAGAATCGGCATCCCTAATTCGTTTTTTTTAAAGGGATTTTATGACCTGGTAACTAAGACCTTTAAGTCATATAGTATATTTTTTTCTTTCTTCTTTTGGCAATAGCGTTTACTTTTTGCCAATGACGTAAATAAAAGATTGGGAAACAAAGTTAAAAAAGGATACGAAACACGAGAAACAATCAGATAATGTCTTATTTTAATTTTCATTCTTAATTTTATGAAAAATGACAATATGGAGTGAAATGAAATGAAGATGATTAATTTGAGACATTAATCAACTGGGATGAAATAAAATGAAATGAGATGATATGGGATGAATATAATCTCAGTAAAATAGTGGTCATTTATTAAGATTTTTTCAATGGACTTTTTGGAGGATCCCGAGAAATTACGTCCAGCGCTTTGTTTCATTTTCTCACATTTGTGCACTTTCACAAATATTAAACAGTTAATAAGCCACTGTCATTACACATTTAAACCTGAAGAAACATTAAATGGACAAAATAAAACAAATCACACAACTTCACTCCTCGCTCTCCCGCCAAAAAGTCCTCCCTAATTCGAATGACGACACGGTGTTACCAAAATCGTAGACAGGTAATTTAGATAATTAAAACTTTTATAGCCCAAATTAGGAATTTTAAATGGAAGTAAGTGACAGTGCTGTTGCTGTTTAACATATATCTGTACTCTTTTTTTATAACTTAGTTGTGATAGCTTATGTATGACGCTATTCCGCATACGTGCCGCTTGCTAGATAAGTTTTAAGGGATTTCCCATAGACACAGCCCACTGAGTTTCTCGCCGGATCTTTTCAGTGGGTCGCATTTCCGATCCGGCGGTAGATTCTGCGAAGCACTGCTTTTGCTAGGGCCAGTGCTAGCATCACTCCGGTTTGAGCCCCGTGAGCTCACCTACTAGTTAAGGTTACGCTGAAATAGCCTCTCAAGGCTATCAGCTTAAAGACTTACTACACTTGGCTAAATTTAGTCGACTGAATTCAGTCGCTACTAAATTCAGTAGCAAGGATGGTTTCTGACTGACTAAATCATTTAGAAGCCTAATTAGAAACGCATTTAGGAAGGTGTGATAGCATTTAGTTACTTAATGATTTCAGTAGTCCCTTGTTCTCAGTGCGTAAGGACGTTTTAGTTTTTTTTTTTTTTACTTTCGAATAAAAAGTATTTATTTCAGTCACCTTAATTTAATGTGCCAGACATTTATAAATAAACCGACATGTTTCAGGGATAATTTCTGGCAGCAGGGCTTGGGATATTAAAGAACTAAATTTTAAATCTTGATACGAATTTCCTGTTGCAAAAAATCTTAATGTTACAACCAATATTTCTTTTGGACTTAAACTGTCGTAGGATTAGATATGTAATAGTTATAATAGAGATACTTAATAGACTATCGAAGTATCGTAGGATAGTATCCTGCTTTTGAATAAACGGTGTCCCATATCATTTCATTTAATTTCATCCCAGTTGATTGTCTCAAATTAATCATCTTCATTTCATTTCCATATTAACATTTTTCATAAAAAGAAGAATAAAATTAAAATAAGACATGACTTAAAGGTCTTAGTCACCAGATCATAAAATCCCTTAAAAAAAAGTATTGTATTGTTTACTCCTGGACTCCTGACTCCTGGTTTAAACTATGTGTATAATCTATGCTCCTGGTGGTTTTACTATGTTTTACCCTAAAACGCTTTAAAACTTTCGTCGTTTAAATTTTAACTGTGTGCTTACCTAAAATAAAATGAATTCAGTAAGTATCTGAATTACGTTGATAATTTGTTTTACATTACGTTCAAGTTTTGAAAGATATCTCTTTTCAGTTAACAAAAGCAGCACCCATGACTAAGGATGAGACGAAGCTTCTGCTACAGCTTGTGGCGGTGAATGAAATTATAAATAATAAGACAACAAATGCCATAAATAATGAACTGAAAAAAAAGGCTTGGCAAAACTTGGCAAATGACTTTAATTCGTCGATCGCAACCGTCCCCCGAACTGCAGCGCAGCTTCGTCTCAAATGGGAAAACTTGAAGAAGTCTGCTCGCAAACACTGTGCCAACACGAGAAACGGCCTTATTAAGGTGAATTGAATTACTTGATGATGTATTGATAAGATTACGTTAAATAAGGTTTTTTTTTTCAGGTTGAATTCGCTTAATTGAAATAACTATTGTTACAGACTGGACGTGATGAGGATTGCTTTCCGCCAGATGGAATATTGGACAAAGTAGCTTCACTTTTGGGCATCGGCATCACACGTCAAGGTCGTCGAAGTACCAGCTCAAATTTGTTATTACAGTGTAACCGCTTACCTGCAGGTTAGAATATCTCAGTCCATTTATTTATTTGTTAAAAAAAAAAAACAGTAAGAAAAGGCTCTTTGACTCAAGAGTCACAAAACTAACATCAATGTATGCTATAAACATTAAAAGGTTTCTATATCTATCTTACCCACCTAATCCCAAATAAATCTGCTATAAATAATTAAATAATAATGCAATTATTCTATCTACATTGTTTTTAGGTCAGCCATACTCATAACATTTTTTAATACTTTTACAGCTAAGCGGAAACACAAGATGCGGGAAGAGCTTTGCAAAGCTCGCATATATAGAGACAATGCCTTAGCAGAGTACCTTAAAGCAAAAAAAAAGAAGCTTGATTTGGAAAACAATGAGAAGGAGATTTTAATCGCAAAACTTAAGTTGGAAATAGAGAATGCTAGGTTAGAAAATTTAATATTAAGAGGGGATTCCAAATAAATAACTAAGAAATAATTTGTTGTATAGTTTTATAAACACAATACTTTTCAAAAGTTTTGAAGCACACCTCATTTCGTATGAAAAAGATCGCCGGATCTTCTCAGTGGGTTGCGTTTCCCATCCAGTGGTAGTTCTGCGAAGCACGCCTTTTGCTAGGGTTCGTGTTAGCAACGTCGTCAGGCTTGAGCCCCGTGAGCTCACCTACTAGATAAGGTTCCGCTGAAATAGCCTCTCAAGGCTATCAGCTTAGGTAGGATAAAAAAAAAAAAGGAACATTGCCAATGCAATAACTGGGGATAAATCATGCAGTCATCTGGCATGAATTTAGGATTGCCTGTCTTATGGATACCATGGATACTGACTGGTAAACATGCTTATACTCTCACAATTAACTGGGTTTTTAGAATATCGTCGTTGTTTGACATTGTTACCGTTGCGTTACCGTGTTATCATTTCCTGTTCTTTTCTGCCATAGTGTGTGAATAATTTAAGTTTGTGGTAATCGCTTATTGTTTGTGACTGGCAAAAATGCCACTCAATGTAACTGGTGCAGCTAGGGCTGTGGCTTTAGCCGATGCTGGTTATAGCCAACCTCGCAACGCTCGTAAACTTGGTGTACCTCGAACCACGGTACGGGATGCAATCAGACGGTTGCGGGAGACGGGCTCATACACGCGCAGACCAGATCAAGGCCGACGTGGATGCACTTCAACTCGGGATGACCGCTTCGTTGTCAGCAATGTGTTGAGACATCACTTTTGCACCGCTACTGAAGCCCGTATTCGTCTTTTTACAACACCGAGTAAGTCGGTCAGTATGTACTTGAAAATCATTTTCTTTTTAAGATTTTATTTTAAGCCTGTTTACACAAAAATTTGTAGGATTATCATACCACATGTCACAATTTTGATAAAACATGTTTTATTACTTCATTCATCGGCTATACTACTTTAGGCAATGGTGTAGTTTTATTGAATACTAGCGACCCGCCCTCGCTTCGCTTCGGAAACATTAAATTTTATTATTGATAGGCGAAGCCCGCCATGTTGCGCGCGGTACGACAATAAATGCGGGTGACGTCGCGGGGCGAAGCTAGTCTAAAAACAGTAGCTTAAGTTACTCCTTATCACCTACCTATCTACTTATTAGTGAAAATCTCATCAAAATCGGTCCAGCCGTTCCAGAGACTAGCCGGAAAAACAGACAGACAAATATTGTCAAAAATGTTATTTTGGTGTATGCATATAGTAAAAAGCGATTATTTCAATACTACAAACAGACACTCTAATTTTATTTATATGTATAGATTTTTCTAGTTTGAATTTTTTTAACATTGATGGAGAATATTCCTTTTGTTTCTAAATTCTTCTGTTTAAATAATATGTAATACGAATGAAGAAGAGAAAAATATACGAGTGCCATATATGGCATCATGTACTCTGGGGAATCTAGCAATATTATATATTTCTGATTATAAAATTTGCCTTGGCTTTGGTAAACAGTAGGCAGTGGCTTGGCTCTGCCCTCGGCATTGCTGACGTCCATAAGCGACGGTAACCACTCACCATCAGGTGATCATCGTATGCTCGACTGCCGTAGACAATGTATAAAATCGTGGACCCAGAAATGTTAGTACTTTATGAAAGAGTTTATATATTTTATTAACTTTAAAGTATGCTCCTTCAGAAACAATACACTTACACCAAGAAATAATCCTATCATCAAATCATTTTTTAACGTTTTTTCTGGAATTGAGTTTTTACTATGGATTCTCATCTGTCTTTTATCGATTGAAAACAGGTGCCACAAACTGATTATTTGAGTTTAAGAAAAAGAAGCTGAAGGTTGGAGTCATATCCAGGGCCGGATTTAAACTTAATACCGCTCCTGGGCACCGGAAAAAAATCCGCCCCAATACCGAAATTTTACCGAAACTTATACTTTATATATTTTCTTCAACTTTACTAGAAACTTTATTATAATGTGTGATATATTCCAAAAACAAAAATAAATATGTGTATTTTTTTTTAAAATTATAAATTTGGCACTAAGGCTGACTCGTAATTATACAAGAAAAAAAATATAAATTTCTTCAATGCTGGTAAATAAAAAAGTATATTATTTTTTTATTCTCAAAGAAAATAAATTGATTAAATCATTTTGATTATTAATTTTACCAAAAGTGCCAAAATTATAAATCATACGTAATGGATGAATTGAATTTCTTGAATTATTATAGAATTAATTAATTACATAGAGAAATCTTGACAAGAAATAAATTCACTTTTAATATTTTGCCGCCCTGAGCACTTGCCGGACTGCCCCTAGTGTAAATTCACCACTGGCCATATCTGGTGAACAAGGTTGAGTTTTTGGTTAAAAATTCAAAATTGGTTCACAATGGAGACCTTGTGCTATTTATTGTACCTAGTATTGTGGTGCAAACTCCTTTCCTTTCAAAAAAAGAATTTCCTTTCCTTTATGGCCTCTTTTGTCGAATTTTCTATGTTAAACGCTATTTCTATTATTTACCGTTTGAAATTCCGGCGACAGGTTTCATTCGCACGTGATTATTTAAAATGTTACGGATCGACTCCATGAGACAGAAGATTCGGCGGCTGTCTCTCAAACTTAATTGAGGATTTTATGTCACTACTTCCTTCACTTTTGCGATACTACCTTTAGTTGCAGACGTCAATGGCTTACCAGAGCGAAGCGAATCTTCAATCATATCTCGATCACTTTTGAACGCTTTGTAACTCGTACGTGTTTTTGATAAAGTCGACTTACCGTAAGCCTTCTGTAACATTTTCAGTGACTCAGAACACGAAATTCAATTGATGATGCAATATTTAAAACTAATGCTTTGTTAGAAGTTGTTGTTAATTCTAAAATTCACAATACACACTAAATTTAAATAAAAACAGCACTGTATTTAACCTAATTAACGGATTCGACTCAAATTCGCGCCAAAATGGAAACCAGTTATGCCAATCTAACAACAAAATAAAAGCAATTTGAGTTTGGAACCTTTTATACAAATCACCCATTCGATACTTTTTTGACTGAATATACCACGTGTTCTGAAAATAGTAATCCCCGTCGAACTCGTCGCTTGCGGTGAAGGGCTAGGCGACGCCAGATCTTCTCAGTGGGTCGCGTTTCCGATCCGGTGGTAGATGAGAGTATAGCAAATTTTTTCAGATAACTTGAAAAGCCACGTCGAGTGACTTTATTTCATGTTGGTACAATTTCACAGATACCAAAGCTTATTAAATAGCTATTATTAGACATGTAAATCTGAAGACACAAAATTATTAAGTTAAAATAGTTCATAAAACTTCGATCTCTGTGCTCCCGCCAAAAGGTTATAAATTAAACAGTATTTCATCCACATCACAATTAAATTAAGATCCTTAAAGCATATATACAACAATATACAAAAACGGGACTTCGCCCTTTTGACGGAAGCGCAAGGAGCGATGTTGTGCGAATTGTTTTATTTTGTTTATTTAGCGTTTCTTCAGGCTTAAAAGTGTAATAACAGTGGTTTATTGACTGTTTAGTAAATGTGAAAGTGCAAAAATGTGGCAAAATGAAACAAAGCCGCCGGACGTAGCTTCTCGGGATTTTCCAAAAAGTCGACTGAAATTGTCTCGATAAATAACCACCATTTTACTGAGATTATATTTCATCCCATATCATATTATCATCTCATCTCATTTAATTTCACGTCAGTTGATTAATGTTTCAAATCAATCAATTTAATTTTTTATTTTTTTATTTTTTTATTGCTTATATGGTTGGACGAGCTCACAGCCCACCTGATGTTAAGTGGTTACTGGAGCCCATAGACATTTACAACGTAAATGCGCCACCCACCTTGAGATATAAGTTCTAAGATCTCAGTATAGTTACAACGGCTGCCCCACCCTTCAAACCGAAACGCATTACTGCTTCACGGCAGAAATAGGCAGGGCGGTGGTACCTACCCGTGCGGACTCACAAGAGGTCCTACCACCAGTAATTACGCAAATTATAATCTTGCGGGTTTGATTTCTATTACACGATGTTATTCCTTCACCGTGGAAGTCAATCGTGAACATTTGTTAAGTACGTATTTCATTAGAAAAGTTGGTACCCGCCTGCGGGATTCGAACACCGGTGCTTCGCTAGATACGAATGCACCGGACGTCTTACCTTTAGGCCACGACGACTTCAAACTTCATTTCATTTAGCTCAATTTTTTTTTTCTTAAAAAATAATACTCAAAAAAATTAGGCGGTATGGTACGATACCTTTGCCTTTCCAGTTAGAAAAACAAAGATTACTACTATAGTCGGATTTTTAATTAAACGAAGCCAGCTGACAGTAGCTAATGCATAGAGTTACTATTCTAACTGGAGTGCTTACTTCGTTTGACATAAAGATTAAAAATATACTTTATCTCAATGGATTAAAGTTTATTTTTAAATAGCAAAAGATGTAAGGAAAAACGGTCTGAAAAGAGAATGATTATTAAGTGGTGGTGTCCCTCTCGCACATTTTACAAACAAAAAGCAGTGTTGCTAGCTTAGAGGATTTCCCATAAAATCTCGTAATTTGGATCCCTGTCTTAGTTATCAAAAATGGCTTTTAGTGGTTAGTGGATTTTTTAGTAGCTTGGGCGTTGTTGAAAATTATCGAACAGGTTAAAATCAATCCACTTTACAGGATTTGAAACATTTTATGACAATAATATATCTAAATACATATTATTTAAACGATGTGACTTAAACTTAACTAGAAAATGTTGCGACAATTTAGAATTTCCATCAACGTCAAAAATTAAATTGGTTCAAAAGAAACGTACAAAGTTATGGTGAAATTAGTTTCTGATGATGACAATTTATTAAAATAAATTATATAAGAAGCATTAATTATATGATATATATTGATTTTTAATAGAACATTATATATTAATAAAGCTCATTAACAAAAAAATTCTTGGTATATAATAATAATAACTCTGCTTAATGGAAAATTTAATGGTAGGTAGATTTCTGCTGGTTTTCATGTTGAATTTGGTCGGAAGCCAGATTAATTGTTGGCATCACCGAAAAAGAGCTATGAATGGATTAAAAGAAAAATGGCGTCTATTTACGTTTGTAGTTCGAAGTTAAAAGGGCATTGATGCAGCTTGTGGCTTGTTTTTTTTCGAAAATCGTGAAAGTTTCCGTGTAATCATGGTGAACACTTGTATTGCAAGTGGTTGTAAGCGAGAATCCTCTCCAGTTTGTGGAATATCCTTCCATATGTCAGTTTCATTGATAAATTTTTACTAGTGTGAGCATATATTTTTACAATATGAGATATGTTTTCTCATATAATATTTAATACCATTTGCCTTGTAAATTGTACTTAATCTATGTCATATACTAAATTTTTAAAAACAATCGTGAAAAATTATAATTTTGCAATGTATTTTTCATATTATAGAGCCATCACGTGGTGTTTTTTTAACTTTTTTTATTGTATTGAATAGCGTCGCACGCAAGCATGTATATCATTTGCCTGACGTTAAGCGAACGAGGAGGATCTTCTAGTAAAAATGACGTTGGAATTTCTGGAAAATGTCCTATATAAAGGTCAAACAAGAGGAATCAAGTACTCAAACGCAAGAAATAAAAAATACCCCGAGAAAAGCAAAATTACGACAAGATGTTAAGGTTTTGAAACAAAAACTTAAAAGTCGCGAAATAGTGATTGTAAATGTAAAGTCGATTTTAGATTTATTAAAGAAAAATGGCGATTTTTAATTGAATTGAAATTTAAATTGCGAAATTTTAATGATACTCATGGTCCACTTAGATATTGATTAAAATAAATTATGTATTTCGTTGAAAAAAAAGAATTTACATAAAATATAGGAAATGTTATATTATAAGACTACAGAAAATTAACTGAACTAAATAATAATAATATAACCAATATTTTGTAAATAGAGATCAAGTACTATGTGTATTGTGTTATGTGTATTGACTTGTCATTTAAGAGTTATTTTAATTGTCTACATATAACAAATAAATGAATTTCAGTTCATTTCATTTTATTACCCATTGTGTTTTATTTCCTAAAATGTAACTAGTAGACTTAATATACATGTGTCATGAAAATAGCACAGAAGTAAAAATACAAGCAATTTTAAATCATTTGAAGATGTGAATGTAGGAAAAGAGCACCCGATAGGCGCAGACCATGTGTGTTGCAGTGTCTCACTCTGTGTGTCAAATATTAATTTGCACGGCCCGCTTAGCCAGAACATTAAAGTAGGAATTGCGTAATTAAGTTCAACATAATATTTAAGTCGCGGTTGAGTATTCGGACGTTAAACATGAGTTTGAGGAAGTTTAAGTAATAGAACTGAGGGTATGATGTTTGTAATAAAACTCAGTGCTAAATTTTCGACAACACAGCAATTTCCAAAAAAAACCGTCGAAAAAAAAGTCACCATGACGACGAAGCAATGCTTAGAATTGAATTTACATAAAGAAACTGTTGCAAGCACGTTTTTTGTTTTTTACATAGGGCTACACAGAATTACTTAAGGTAAATTCAAAACATGCATGTGTATAATTTTATCCTATAAATAAATTTTATATGGTCACCACCTTAGACAAGGACACCGCGACCAAAAAGTATTCTCTTTCGAGACCGATTTCTCGGCATTAGACAGCACTCCAGTTGTAGGTACTTATTAACTCCATGAGCTAATGTCACTCTGTGAAATAATGTTGCTATATTTAAAGTAATAGTGATGCGTTCAGTTCTCGTTCAATCACATGAATGAACAATGAGGGTGAAGAGTTAATCATTAATTTCAAACTATAAAAGAATATTATTTATATTTTACAATAAAATTATATTAAAGTGCTCCAATATATATTTTTTTATTTTTTTTTATTGCCTTTGTAGGCAGACGAGCGTACGGCCCACATGATGGTAAGTGGTTACCGTCGCCCATGGACTTCAGCAATGCCAGGAGCAGAGCCAAGCCGCTGCCTACTGCTTAATACTCTCCACAAGCCTCGTTTGAAGAAGGACATGTCATAGCGTTCGGGAAACACCGTGGAGGGTTTATATATGTTACTAGTAGTATTTAACTACAATTTTTATTTTCATTACCTACCTATAATTGTTCTATTTTATACATCTATAGTTTCAACTATATGATGTATTGGAAATAGGACCGTCTTACAAGCTCCCTCGCAATGTTTTTCATAATGTTTAAAACACTCGGTGTTCAGTACAGGTAGATACTATAGGAACATAATATTTCGTCGAAAACTCGTTGGTATTTACAAAGCACGCCTAAAATTCGAACCCTGTACCCGATATCGGCAATTCGGCACACCAACTATTCACTAGACAATCGAGGCAATTTCATTAATTCAGGAGTTTTTTTCAATCGTTCACTTTGTCACAACACTATTTTTATTTCATCAAAAACTGACAACACAGTAAACGTCAGTTGACTTCGTCTAATAAAAAATCCGACTATAGAACGAGACTTCAAAGCTTGTCTTGTCAAACCTACCTACTCTTGCCAAAACACCCTCGCTAGAGAAATAAACAGTGCATTGTTATGTACTCGTTATTAGGTTTAATTTTAATTAAAACATAACAGTTATAACTATATACTTCTGGAACAAATTACAAAAAATACACTCAATCATGGATGACCAAGCTTGTCCTCGTTGTAAAACAACAAAATACAGAAATCCGTCGCTAAAGTTAATGGTAAATGTTTGCGGCCACGTTTTGTGTGAAAACTGTGTTGATTTACTGTTTTTAAAAGGTAAGCACAGTACCTATTTGAACAGTGACATGTAAATAGTCTGTTAAGTTTATTGCACGTAATAAAACCAAACCAACCTAAACTATTTGAAAAACATGATTTATTCTAAATTAAAGAAAAGAAGGCATAGATGTCACCTGTTTTATTTTTCACAGGTTCAGGTTCTTGTCCGGATTGCAACATAGTATTACGCAGAGGAAATTTTAGGGTTCAGTTATTCGAAGATCCGATGGTGGAAAAGGAAGTAGACATAAGGAAACGCGTGTTACGAGATTACAACAAAAAAGAGGAAGATTTTAATTCGTTAAGAGAATATAATGATTATTTAGAAGAAATTGAAATCATCGTATACAATTTAACAAATAATATAGACATAGTAGAAACTAATAAAAGGATAGAACAGTACAAAAAAGAAAACAAGGAATTGATAATGAAAAATAAAGCCAAACTTGGTAGTTACTTTAATATAATAAGTTTATAAGAATTATAGAAATGTGTAAAAATATGTTTATTTGGTCAAGTAAATTATACAGTATTGAGATCTTAGTGTTTGGTGTGAATTTAAATTGATGAATGAATTTAAATTTGGTCTTAGAATTGTGAGTACACAAAGTCAGACAATGATCTTGCTTTATGAACTTATGACCTCAATGTCTTAAACTGCTCCTTTCATTTTTGTGAGTCTGTATATTGTCTGTCTGTATACACCACCAGGTGAGCTGAACTGTATATGTACAGACAAAGAAAAACTAGGAAGGTTCATTTTTTACTGGTGGTAGGACCTCTTGTGCATCACCGCAGGTAGGTACCACCACCCTGCCTATTTCTGCCATGAAGCAGTAATGCGTTTCTGTTGGAAGGGTGGGGCAGCTATACTTGAGACCTTAGAACTTATATCTCAAGGTGGGTAGTGCATTTACGTTGTAGATGTCTATGGGCTCCAGTAATCACTTAACACCAGGTGGGCTGTGAGCTCGTCCACTCATCTAAGCAATAAAAAAAAAACTAGCTGGAGGATTGAACTGATTTTAATAGGCCCAAAAAAAAATGTTTTTTTGCGCATCGAATATGGTTATTGCCTATCATTTATGTACAAAGCAGTTATTGTCGCTTAGTCACGTTTGCCTTTCAACCTTCGATATTATTTTTGAAATTGCATTAACTAATTTAAAATTTTGTTAAGTAGATAGTTTGAATATAGAAAAATAAAAGTTTTATATAAATTTTCAGGAAGAAAAGCAATTGAATTAGAAGAATTATTAGAGAAAGAGAAAGAATATGAAGAGCTCAGGAGACAAGAGCTGTCTCGACTAGAACAAGAAGCGAAAAGAAAGAAAATTCGCGAGAAGGAAGCTCTTATTGATGAATTAATGTTTGCAGAGGGCAACGCTAAAGATATTCTGAATACTTTTGCTCAGACTGTAGCAAATAAAAAAGAGGAGGAAGAGGTTGTCCCTATGGTGAGTCTAGAAACAAATCGCTTTTTGGCATTAAAAGTGTACAAAATCCAAAAGTATTCGAAATTGAGTTAATATGCGTAAACATTTGGTATCACCAGTCTACTTTTCATAAATACTGTAGAAAAGAGAAGAGAAGAAAAGAGCATAGTTTAGTTTTAGTTTTTTTTTGTTTACCTACGTTTTGACTACTATTAACAAAATTAATACATAATTTTATCTTACTTTAAAAGACAGATAATGTAACTGGTGAAAAAAAAAATTTTGCAAATATGATTAATATTAAAAATATAAACCTTTAAAACACTCCTTTAAAATTAGTAAGTTTTGAGATTATACAGTTTTAAGCTGAGAAGACGAAATGTTAAATTGGAACACATAGTAGTCCGACAAAGTAAATATAATATAAGTATTGGGGAGTTAATAGAATCAAATTTGAAGTTTATTCAAATAGGCTTTTACAGGCACTTTTAATTCATTGTGGATTTACCATCGATGTGGTATGCAGAATGATTACTAAAAAGAATTTGCAAGAATCTCCGCAATTTTCGAAATTTAATATATTAATTTATGTACTTCACAGAAAAAATTCAAAACATTAATCCATTTAATTACCTTAATTTCAATCCAGGGTTTGTAGGCTCGGGGAAATGATAATCAGTAACCTTATTACTGGTTGTAGGATTTGTTGGAAACCTGCCCAGTTAGGTTTTTTTTTATTGCTTAGATGGGCGGACGAGCTCACAGCCCACCTGGTGTTACGTGGTTATTGGAGCCCATAGACATCTACGACGTAAATGCCGCCACCCGCCTTGAGATATGAGTTCTAAGGTGTCAATATAGTTAAAAAGACTGCCCCGCTCTTCAAACCGTAACGCATTACTGCTTCACGGCAGAAATAGGCAGGGTGGTGGTACCTACCCGCGCGGACTGACAATAGGTCCTACTACCAATAAAACCAGGTATCACTACCTTTCCTGTTTCTGCCATAAAGCACTAACTAACAGGTCCTGGTTATAAAAGGTGGGTCAGTCACTGTACTATAAAACTGTGACATAGAACTCATGTCTCAAGGTGGGTGGCGACTTTTACTTTTATTAATGTCAATATGCTTCAATTACCACATGACATCAGGAGGTCTCTGAGATTGCTCATCTGTAAAAAAAATTGCGATGTGGCATACCACAGTTGCTGTTGTCACTAGAAGATTTCCTCTAGTCGTCCACAGATGTCAGCACTTCCACAATCAAACAGTTTAATTGACAAGATGAAAGCTTTTACAAGAAAAGATACACATTTTTCCTTTTTCAGGTAACTCAATTCTCCACTGGAGTGCAATTCACTAGAGGGTCGACAAATCAACCTATTCCAATAATAGAAGAAGGACCAATGTATAAATATGAACCATTAGCCATCCCGGATAGATGTGGACCGGATCCGCCAATGATCAAAGAAATAATTCAAAATGGTTTTCTGAAGCATGTGAGGTTAGTGTAGACATTTGCATTGTGTGTCTGCAGTAGACATAGGGTTGGTACTTGGGTTATCGTCGGTCGGACGTCCTCGGGATGCCGCCGCGAGTCTGGTTGTAGTGTGGACCGCGGGAACCCCCCTACTCTGATCAGGTTCTGACCCCGGACGAAGATCGGACATTGGGTGTAAGAGTGTAGGGGAGTGGTATCTGGGTTGTAATTGGACATATCCAGCTTGAATCAGGTATAATACAAACTTTCTATAGATACATGTATTTAAAATAATATAATAATGATTTTTGCAATGAAGAAATAATAAAAACCAAACCTAAAAAAAATATAATGGTGGGCAGTGGCTTGGCTCTGCCCCTGGTATTACTGACGTCCATGAGCGACGGTAACCACTTACCATCAGATGGGCCGTATGCTCGTCTGCCTAACAAAGGCACAAAAAGTAAAAAATAGTGTGGTTTCATCTTGTGAGCCCACACAGGTATGCACCATCACCCTGCTATATTTCTGCTGAGAAGCAGTAATGCATTCCGGCTTATAAGGTGGGGAAGCTGTTAAGCAGCCACTAGTAATAGTAATAACAGCAATGGTAGTATTTTTTTTTTTATTGCTTAGATGGGTGGACGAGCTCACAGCCCACCTGGTGTTAAGTGGTTACTGGAGCCCATAGACATCCACAACGTAAATGCGCCACCCACCTTGATATATAAGTTCTAAGGTCTCAGGTATAGTTACAACGGCTGCCCCACCCTTCAAACCGAAACGCATTACTGCTTCACGGCAGAAATAGGCAGGGTCGTGGTACCCACCCGCGTGGACTCACAAGAGGTCCTACCACCAGTAATTACGCAAATTATAATTTTGCGGGTTTCATTTTTATTACACGATGTTATTCCTTCACCGTGGAAGTCAATCGTGAACATTTGTTGAGTACGTATTTCATTAGAAAAATTGGTACCCGCCTGAGATTCGAACACCGGTGCATCGCTCAACACGAGTGCACCGGACGTCTTATCCGTTAGGCCACGACGACTTCAATCCACGACGTCATATTTGAATAGTGATCTCTTGATTAGCTATTATCATCTAAGATCTCAATTCGACTGTATTTTTTTATGTTACCCCATAACTTTTTTAAGTGAACCAATTTTCATGATTTCTTTTTGATTGATTGCTGTTTCTTTACATTACATTACAATTCTATCAAGATGGTTAACGGTGCTTAGTGCGAGTTTTTTAACGTTCTCGATAGCGTAAAAGTTAACTCAAATTTGTATGGAGTTGGAGTATGGAGAACGTTTGCTTACGTTTGCCTACGATTGCATACAAATTCAAGTTAACTTTTACGCCATCGAGAACGTTAAAAAACTCACACTAAGCACACTGCCCAGTAATTTTTAATACTTAATAGTGACTGTACTTTTAAGCAACTTTTTTTTTATTGCCTTTGTATGCAGACTAGCACACGTCCTGATGTTGAGTGGTTACCGTCGCCCATAGACTTCAGCAATGCCAGGGACAGAGCCAAGCCGCTGCCTACCGTAACTTAGACTAAATTGATGATATTGTCATTTTATTGTGTTTAAGTTGGTTTTATTTTTAACTAGCTGACCCGGCAGACTTCGTAGCGCCTCAATCGATAAATAAAAGACCTAAACTTTTGTTTAAAATAAACTTAAAACAAACAAAAGGAATCCGTCGCAACGGGGGACACATCAAAGGGAAAACAAAATTGTTATTTTTATTTAATTCCGAGCATTTTCATATTTATCTAACTTTTAAACCTTCTCTGGATTTTCACAAATAATTCAAGACCAAAATTAGCCAAATCGGTCCAGCCGCTCTCGAGTTTTAGCGAGACTAACGAACAGCAATTCATTTTTATATATTTAGACTAGCGACCCGCCCTCGCTTCGCTTCGGAAACATTACATTTTATTATTGATAGCTGGGTCCCGCTATGTTACCTACCCGCGTTTATCCTACCGCGGATGACGCCGCGGGGCGAAGTTAGTCCAAAAAAAAGCATCCAAAGTTACTCCTTATATCATCAGCTACCTATTAGTGAAAGTCTCGTAAAAATCGTTCCAGAGATTAGCTGGAACAAACAGACAGACAAAAATTGGAAAAAATGATATTTTGGAGTTTGTACCGTATATAATATATTCATAATTATGCATGTAGTAAAAAGCGTTTATTTCAATATTACAAACAGACACTCGAATTTTATTTATATGTATAGATACATTTTTTGGTATTATATATTTTTTATAGGGCTGAAAACGAGACTGAGAAGGCTGGGGGTTACACGTCAACATTACCATGTTTGAGGGCATTACAGGATGCACTCTCGGGATTGTATCACGCCAGCTGACACCCGTCACAGATCATGGAAACGGTCATTGAAGTCGATTGAAGTGTTCTTTTTTTTGTTTGTCGAATAAACATTTCGTTGTTGTTTTGTGTTTTATTTTGATGTTGTCGACGTTTGAACATTGTTTTAAGGGATTATATGAACTTAGACCTTTGGGTCATGTCTTATTTTAATTTATATTCTTATTTTTATGAAAAATGATGAAATGAAGATGATTGATTAATTTGAGACATTAATCAACTGGGATGAAATTAAAAGAGATGATATGGGATGAAATATAATCTCAGTAAAATGGTGGTTATTTACTGAGATTTTTTCAGTGGACTTTTGGGAGGATCCCGAGAAGTTACGTCCAGCGGCTTTGTTTTATTTTCTCACGTTTGTGCACTTTCACAGATATTAAACAGTTAATAAACCACCGTTATTACACATTTAATACTGAAGAAATACTAAAACAAATCTACAAATTAAAACAAATCTCATAACTTCATTCCTCGCGTTCCCGCCAAAAAATCCGACGTTTGAAGAAAGAGTTCTTGAATTGCTGTGTACGTTCCGATTCGGAGGTATGCAGTAAAACTGGGAGAGCGTTTGCAACTCCAATATTCCATACAGAGGATTTTCTTTGGTTTTCACGAGTCTTATATACATAATTGAAACGACTTTTACGATTAAATTTCGCTTTTATCATTGTCTGTATGTTAATTTCGACGTATCGTATACTTTACAGTTTTCACGGACGAAGTGAATACTACGAAAACTTTAAAGAGGTCCTAATTAATCCAAAGAGAGGTTACATAATTTTATTTGTGTATTACGAATTTTTTTTTTCCTACCTTTACTGATAGCCTTGAGAGGCTATTTCAGCTTCGCCCTAACATGTAGGCGAGCTCATGGGGCTCAAACCGAAGTGTTGCTAACACTGGCCCTAGCAAGAGCAGTGCTTCGCAGAATCCACCACCGGATCGGAAACGGGACCCACTGAGAAGATCCGGCGAGACACTCTGTGGGCTAAAATTTTTCAAAGTAACTTTGCATGTATAGAACTTTGTTCGAACGACATTTGGACCGTCGGTCTATCGAGCTGTTTCAACCATTCAGTGTAAGATTTTCGCTGGGTCGATACATCTGGGTCATTATTTATGCTGTCACGAAAAGGATTTAATTTTTTTTGGTCATAAATGTTTTTACGAGAAAAGATATTTTTTATTTCTATTATATGATTAACAGGATAACCCTTTTATCATGGCCTCTGCTGGTTACATATCCGACCTAGATGACGGGGCAACGCAAAGCCGCAATCACCCGAAACATGTCGGATCTCGCGGGCTATTTTTTTTTTATTGCCCTTGTAGGCAGACGAGCATACGGCCCACCTGATGGTGAGTGGTTACCGTCGCCCATGGACTTCAGCAATGCTAGGGGCAGAGCCAAGGCGCTGTCTACCGCAAATCTACTCCGCCGATCTACTCTCGGTGCTTTTAAGCTCTTCAAGCATCAATGAGGTCACCGATCTCATTGAATTCGTTGATTACGATGAAGTGACGAGCGAACTAACCCATAGATATAACTCACTGAGTTTCTCGCCGATCTTCACAGTGGGTCGCGATTCCGGTCCTTTGGTAGATTCTGCGAAGCGCTGCTCTTGCTAGGGTCAGTGTTAGCACATTGTCACAGTTTAAGCCCCGTGAGGTCATCTATGAGTTACCGCGTTGCTGGAATATCTCTTTGGCTGCCAGCGAATAGGTAGCAAAAATAAATACATGAAGATATTATAAATGCATTATACAATTTAATAGCATTTAAAACAGAATGAAGCTGTTAAGTTTATCTTTTAAAACGCTATTTTACACTTTGTTGTCAGTTACCGCCTTGTATTCACGGACTACACGGGGAAATTGTCCACTGCCAATCCTTTAGAATATTTTAGACTCAAAATATTATGGTGACTATTGACGTGTAGAGAATGTCATGTTCTCTGTCTCTCCATAAAGCATATAAAGGTTAATGACTTCACAAGTGTTAAGTGGTTACCGAAACCCATAGACATCAATAAAATGTAAATGCCACAAACCTCCTTGAGACGGGCATCACTGCCACAGGACAGAAATAGGCAGAGTGGTGCTACCGAAGCGGGCTCACAAGATGTCCGGCCACCAGTATTTATGCAAATTGTAATTTTCGAAAGGTTTAATTATGATTACTATCCAATGTTATTCCTTCACTGTGGAAATCAATCGTAAATAATTGTTGAGTACGTATTTCGTTAGGAGAATTGGTGTTTGCTTGCGAGGTTCGAACACCAGCACAGTCGCATTGGTCGATACGAATGCACCGGGCATCGTATTTATCCTTTAGGCCACGACGACTTCTAACTAAATCTATATATTAATACGTGAAGCAAAAACTTTGTATCCCTTTTTAAGAAAATTGCGCGGACGGAGGATTATGAAATTTTCCACACTTATAGAGAATATATAGAAGAAGTGCAAAAGGTAAGAATTTTAAAAAATAATGCATAAAAGATACATTAAATCAATAAAGAAAACATCACACACACTACATACCATGTATTTGACGCACACACGCATGCATACTATTTATTGTCAAACTTTTGTTCTTGACGTCTGTTGTCAATTTGAGAATAGATTAAATATTGTTTGTCTTTGTTAATATTTTTTATAGTGTAGTCTTGGCGAAATTTGTGATTAAAGAAGTATAAAATACAATCATAATAGTGTACAAACTTACAATTCCAATTAATTATAGTCGAATTTCGACTACTGCGGGACCTCTAGTTATATTAATTGGGTATTGGTAAATTTCGTACATACAAATTACAAAACAAAAAGGATTTATACGCAATACAAAGTTCTCAAAATCAACCTTAAACAATGCGCTTCAAAAAAAGAAAATTCGCGAAAGTTCTTCGCGATAAACAAAACAGGTTTTTTTTACACGAATTGCTTCAAACTATTGAATTCTTGTGTTTGAAAATAGCCTAATGCATAGGTAGGTACTCGTATCAAATCTCTATTGAACCCCAAATCCCTTGGAGCGACGGCGCGAGCAGGCAAACAGACAAATATTGTACAGGCGATAACAGGTAAAAGCACCGCGCTGCGGAGGTACTAAAGTATGACAAATAATAAATGCACTTTGAAGAGGTAAAGCTTGTTGCACACTTGATATGTTTTGTACAAAAAAATTATAACTCTTAGGTATTCAAATTTTGGCATTAGTCATTGTTAAGAATTTACATTAGTATTACGATATTTTAGATACTCATTTAGGACATTTTATAAAAAGCTTTAGATGACGACCGTTCAAACCAAAACGTGTGACGCGAATAATTAAACAATTTTATTTTTTTCGTATGCCATTTAATTATGAACTTATCTTATTCATGACAATAAAATGTAAATGCAGATTTTAATAAATGTGCACCGTGCTTTATTCTGAAACTAAAAAATAAAAGTATTTTCTCAACACGAGTTGTAGGTATGTAAGGCCTTATGTCCACAAATGGTTGAGTACGCATAATGTTTGTTTGCATGATTGTTTGTCTTGTCGATAATGCAGTCGCCATGTCAGGAAAGCTATTTAGGCTCACCTGCCCTTCTACGAGCGCTGCTTGCCTAAAAGAAACTGTAATAAAATAATAAAAAATAAAATACCTACTTTGTTGGTGAAGTTTCGATGATAATCGGCTGATAACAATTAAGCCATACAAATAGAGGCTTGTCGGTCCAATACGACCTCAATATCATAATTAAAACTTCTTTTACGACTTAATACAGAGTTGTTCACGATCACGATAAATTGCAAAGTATTGAAAACTTCAAAAACAGTATTAGTATGACAAAAAAATGAGCGATCAAACCGTAAGAGTAGTTCTCATTCTGTCCATGACTCCCGAATAAGTTATTACTTACGAACGGTATTGAAGTAGTGGTTATTACCAATGTTGTTGTCTATTTTTTTTTGTGAAGAAATGATTGCTCCTTACACGGAGTCAGATAACAGCTGCCAGAGCGCCTCTGGCGGAGGCCTAACAATTCAAAAGCAGATGCTTCGCGAATGAATCTACTACCGGATCGGAATCGCGACCCGCTGAGAAGTTCCGGCGAGAAACTTTGCGGCTATGTACCTCGTTGTAATCGTGTGACGCTATTGCTGCAAATTGACTCTAACCTGCTCGAGTACTAACTCCAGTTTTTTTTTCATACCTATGCTGATAGCCTTAAAATAGCAGCTTCACTCTAATAATGTAGGTGAGCTCACGGGGCTCAAACCAGAAGTGTTGCTAGCACTGGCCCTAGCAAGAGCAGTGCTTCGCAGAATCTACCACCGGATCGGAATCGCGACCCGCTGAGAAGTTCCGGCGAGAAACTCAGTGGGCAGTGTTTGTGGATTAATTCGCTCATCAAGTCCTTTGTCGCAAGCGACGGATTCGACGAGGACGGTGACCGATGCTTGTGGTACCTAAAGGCACCGTTAATGGATCGAGCGGATCTGTAATGACGTGTTTTGGGCGACGTCGACTATTTACCATTCGGTCTACAGGATCGGGTATGTAATTCCCAGCGGCCACAACAAGAGGGTTCTCATGTCGTGCCGCCTTCTCAAAGTGGCGCAATGATGCCGACTGTAGATACTTACTGACTGAGTCAAGCTCCAGGTCGTCATGGTGATCCACGTTTCTTAGGAACCGTGGTGCTCCGACAACTATCCTGCAAGAACTCCAGATGGAAGTTTCCAGTTCATCATCATCATCATCATCATCTCAGCCTGTCTACTGTCCACTGCTGAACATAGGCTTCTCCGACTGATGTCCAGTGCGGCCGGTTCGTTGCCCCCTGCATCCAACGTGACCCAGCAATTTTCACCAGGTCGTCGGTCCATCTGGTAGGTGGCCGTCCCAGACTGCTTTTGCCAGTACGTGGTCTCCACTCGAGGATATTTCTGCCCCATGCGCCGTCCGGTCTTCGCGCTATGTGACCTGCCCACTGCCACTTCAGCTTGCTAATCCTCGTTTCCAGTTACTGATGTCGTTCATGACGAATGATGGGGGCCGTAAATT